ATATTCCGAATATTCGTTACAAATTATTGTATGTTTATTGCAGCCGAATGATGGATCTCTTTTTTTAAAGTGACAGATCCGTAATGAAAGAAAACATTTAAAATTAGCAACGTATGAAAGTAATATGTAAGCCTAAAGGAAATTATAACGTCTGCCTACCTTCATATTTTCTACGTCGTCCACCTGCGCCATATGAAATTTCGATAACTTCGGCCCAGCCTGATCTGGTCTGTCGTAACTGAATTAGCAGCCCTGGTTCCCCCTACCATTTAAACACAGTGATTATAAATAGGCTCAACGACATATTGTTAAAAATTACTACTATGGTTTAAAAAATGATACTTTCGATAGATAGATAACATAGGGAGATTTTTTTTGGGGGGGGGGGGGGGGGGGGGTGTCATCCATAAATGGACGCTACACTCAAGCGAAGCGAGAGAGTTCGGATTTTAATGACGAAGTGTAGTAAGGTGGTCAAAAAAGTGTAACATCCCACTTTTGTATAAGTAATTTTTTGGGGGGAAAACCCCGTGGTTGTTGCAGTTATTTTTTAATTTTTTTTTAATTAGACCTTTTTTAAATTATCAGTGTCGGTAGACTATAGCTACATGTGACCCAACGTAATTAATATTTTAAAAAGAAACATCCTTTTATAAAATAAGACCACAACTGCACTAGGGAATCATTATGAGGGTGTTTAATTAAGCTATGTAGTTTATTCAATAACTATAATAAGTAAAGTTCCCTTTTTGAACATGACGGCCCATTTTGCAAGTGAAGTAGAGTTCACCTGTTTCTGTGTTTCTGTGACTTCGATATATGAAGGATCAGTTGCGTAGGCAGGGGGGGGGGGGGGTTAGGGGGGGGGTCCATACCCCCCATAGGGACCCCTCGGTATATAGAAAAAGTATGAGGGGGGGTGCAAATCGAAAGTTTGAGGGGGTGGGGGTGCAAATCGAAAGTTTGAGGGGGGGTGCAAAATCAAAGTTTGAGGGGGGGGTGCAAATCGAAAGGTTTGAGGGGGGGGGGTTGCAAATCGAAAGTTTTGTCCCCCGGGTAAAAATTGGAACCCCCCCCTTGAGGACGATCCTGGCTACGCCACTGGAAGGGATGATGGGATCAGTACCGTGATTAGAAACCTTTTCCTTCCCTAACGTGAGATAACTATAATACTAACCTTAATATTTCTCAGCTTAAGCCTCCCCTGCGGGAACGTTATAAAAAGTGTCTTCTTGTTCAATCAGAACACCCTCGGTCATTGGCCAGATCTCGGGTCCTGGTAATTAAGCTCTGGAGGTCTGCGACTCTGGCTTTGATCTCAACGTTTCGTGGCATCCTCTGGTAGAACTACGGCGATCAACTATAAACTTCAGCAAAAACTTGAGATTTACAGTCCAGATGGTCACAATGGACTGTGGTGTGTAGCATAGGAGTATTCGCTATCTCGAGATGCGTAGTTCGGTATCTATAGATGTATAGTAATTTAGCCATTAGCCAATAGTCCAGTATGATATCTAATAATTTGAGATGTATAGTTCAGTATGCACAATAAAATAATAGCTCGAGATATATATATATATATATATATATTATATATATATATATATATATATATATATATATATATATATATATATATATATATATATATATATATATATAATATCACCAAAAATGTTTCGTTCACAAACTAGAACATCGACACATTTCATTATCGACCAACACTGTTAACGAAATAAAATTAACTGCACACGAGACAAGGAAAGCGACCGAGCCAGTGGCGTAGCTACCAAAAGCTAGTGTAAGCAAGGCATAGGGGAATTTTAATATTATGTTTTATACAAATAATTTTAAAAATAAAATTAAAATTCAGGTTTCTTTTCTATTGTAGAAATAATTTAAAGTTCCAAAAAGTCCCCCAGTCATTTCTTACTTTACAAGTAGTGGGATTCAATGAGGGGGGGGGCGGGCGGGGGGGGAGGGGGGGGGGGTCGAACAGGGCTAATCCGTAATAATATCACTATATCTTTACGTTAATGAACTTTCAATTTTTTTATCAAATTAATCTGTAAACATTATGGCGCTACTAACACTATAAGTTTTTGGTTTTCATCCAATCGCCAAGAAACTTTGGGAAATCGTTGAGAATACTCCAAAGGAAGTGTTTTTCCCCTGACATTTTTTCCTCAAAAAGTGCATGAAAGATACTCTAACTTTTGGGAAAGTTTCTGCCATTAAATTTTTATTTTATTTCGGAGGGCGGCGCCTAGGCAGTAAGGCGGTGCAGTTTGCCACCCAGAGTTTCCCCGCAGCTATCTTTGCACCTGGGGTCCCTGATTGGGGTGTCCGGCGCAGCGCGTCAGCGTTACTACTTGATTCAGCGTTCAAATTGCATCAGCCGGCACCTCGGCGGTCGTGTAACCCGGTGCACCCTGGTCTCCCCAATGAGCACCTACGGCGCCATATTCGTGTTAATGAGCGCTATACACTAGGGATAATTCGGGATACTAAAATCGATTACTAAATCTAATAATGGGTGTCCTCCAGCGCATCAACAGTAGTAACGGTTACCCTGCGGCTACCCGAGTGCACGAGATCCGTTGATTGGGTGCCTTGCAGGGTCAGGGATACTACTTGATTCAACAGTCAAACTGCAACAGAGGCGGCTTTCGAAGCCCTCGGCGTACAGATGACACCAATCACACAAGTATTCTACATTAGGGACAGAGGTTGCATCTGACTGCTTACGGTAGTGTAACCAGTCACTTCCCGCTACGCCACTGACACCTATTACGGAAAATAATTAACATACACTCAATGCTTTCATACAGCACGCCCAAGTGCGTCTGAGCGGTAGTGTGGACCAACCCGCGCCACCATCAGATTATTAATCATTTTACAAAATTAAAAGCATGAAAAAAAAACAAACCCAGATCTAAATATAATCTTTTAATATTTTATCTGGGTACAACTTAGTTTTGACAATAAATTTTACAATTTCTTGTCATGGTGTCACGCCTAAATGTTGTCATCCCGATCAGAGGCGTATTGACCCTTCCCCGGCGCCCGGGGACAAACTTTCAATTTGGCGCCCCCCTGTGGTGCAAATTTTCGATTTGCGCCCCCTCTCAAACTTTCGATGTGCACCCCCCCCCTCCCTCAACTTTTCGATTTGCACCCCCCCCCCCCTCAAACTGCAAAAATGCAGCTAATATGACATTTTAATTTGTTTTTACAACCCATTTTGGCGCCCCCCTAAGGTCAGCGCCCGGGGACATATGTCCCCCCCTGCCCCCCCCCCCCCATCGCTACGCCTCTGCATCCGATGCGGACCGCACCTCTGCCTCAGCTTATAACCACTACTGTGCTTGTTTACTTAAAAAAAAAACAAATTAACTGTAAGTCTGTAACATTTTTACAAAATCACATACTAATATAAGTATAAATACACAATCAGGACGTATAAAATATAAAATGTACAGAATATTTATATTTTTTAATGTCCTCCATCCAGTGGCGTAGTGAAGTCGGGTGTCACCCGGTGCGGCACTTAATGGTGTCACCCCCCCCAGAGGGCGTAGCGAACTCTTCCCGGGGACAAACTTTCAATTTTCGATTTGCCCCCCCCCCCCCCTCAAAACTTTCGATTTGCACCCCCCTCAATTTTTTCTCTATATATTTTACTATTTTTAGCCTTGGTGTCACCCCCCCCCCCCCAAAATGGTGTTAGCCGGTGCGATCCGCGTCCCCGCCCCGCCCCCCTCGCTACGCCTCAGCCTCCATCATAAGTAGCAGTTGATTTTTTAGTTGAACTCAATTGTAGCTTAAAGGCTGACGAAGGGGGCCCACTGATAATTTTTGCAGAGGGGCCCAAAAATCCTAGCTACGCCCCTGGACCGAGCCAAGATGACGAAACACAATTAAAACAGACTGATCGGATATCGATCATCTTATGCTTGGATCTATTAGTGAAGCTGAGGACGTGAGATAATTGTCGACGTAGCTGATACTGATATAGGCCACCCCATGCACTAAACTGGGAGCACGTCGTTTTAATAGAAGTATCGCAGCAAGAGTTTCTTTCTTGCATCTTTCCGGACAATGTCAACAACCCCGCCCCCCCTCCCCCAGTAGCACGTAAATCACCCTCCACCGGGGCCAAATAGAAAAGAAAAAAAAATTATATACTTTAAAAAATATATACTTAAACCAGTGTCTCCCTCCCCCCCCCCCCCAGTGTTTCTTCCAGACTTTTTTCTCCGGGGGGGGGGCACTTGAAATTTTCAGGGGGGGGGGGTGGTAAACTTTCTTCGGGGGGGGGGGGTGGTAAACTTTCTTCGGGGGGGGGGGGGGCGGACACTGTTAAGAGTATATATTTTCTATATAAATTATATACATTTCATTCCGTTCGGGGGGAGGGCGGTTTTAAAATTTTCGGGGGGGGGGGGGGGTGCAAAGCCCCCCCCGAAGAGATGCCTGGAAGAAACTCTGCTCCCCCGCCCCCTCTCTGACATTTTAATTGTGCTCCACCGGAAGTTTAAAGTGTCCCCTGGAGAAACATGTTTTGAACGAAACCCTGATCGAGAAATGTAACGTTTTTGGTTTCGAAGACAATTATATTTTCATTGACCCAATCATACTTCATACTGACAGACGTTGCTGGAAACTCCGCAGATTTAAAACCGGTCCAGGGTTTCTTTCAGGCATTTTTCTCCGAGGGGAAGGGGGGGGGGGGTGGGCTGAAACTTTCGGAGGAGCGCACTTAAATTACAAATTACCGGGGGGGGGGGAGGTTTACAAACACACACATGGTTAAAAGCAGTGTTTCTTCCAGACTTTTTTCTTTTTTCTCCGGGGAGGGGGGGGGCACTTAATATTTTCGGAGGGTGGACATTTTCTGGAGGGGGGGGGGGGGTGGCGGACTATGGTAAAAGTATATGTTTTTTATATAAATTCCATTTCGTTCGGGGGCGGGTCCAGGGTTTCTTTCAGGCATTTTTCTCCCGAGGGGAAGGGGGGGGGGGGCTGAAACTTTCGGAGGAGCGCACTTAAATTACAAATTACCGGGGGGGGGGAGGTTTACAAACACACACATGGTTTAAAAAGCAGTGTTTCTTCCAGACTTTTTTCTTTTTTCCTCCGGGGAGGGGGGGGGGGGCACTTAATATTTTCGGAGGGTGGACATTTTCTGGAGAGGGGGGGTGGCGGACTATGGTAAAAGTATATGTTTTTTATATAAATTCCATTTCTTTCGGGGGCGGGGGTTGGTGGTAGACCTTCTACCGAGGGGGGGGGGGCGGGGCGGATCTTCCCCCCCCCCCCTCCCGAAAAGATGCCCGGAAGAATTCCTGGTTAAAAGATTACATTTTGTCTAAATATAAATTATAGATTTTCTTTTTCGTCCGGGGGCTTCCTATGCCCGGGGAGGGGTTAACACTAGTCCCTAGGACTGGAGTCAAAGTAAGGAACAAAATTAAACCAAAAGTTCTATTATGTAGCCTAAAGAAACATGGAATAGTATGAATTCATGAAAATGGGAGCATTATTACATCTTACTGTGGAGCCCTTGCTTGCTCAAGCATATATATAGGCCTCTATGTAGGCTTATATATATATATATATATATATATATATATATATATATATAATATATATATATATATATATATATATATATATATATATATATATATACATATATATAGATTCTATATGCCAATACTTAAAATAAAATTTGTTAAAACGGTGCGTAACGACCTACTTTTTTACATTTGTTTGGCTGGGTGTCTAATTATATTATTGCACCAAGTGTCGAAAGTTTGATTTTTTAAATAGTAGTCTAGGTAACTTGTACAAATTATTTCAGCACATAAATGAACTTCAAAAAGTTTTAAATGCATAATTTATATTTAACGTATATTTTTAATTACATTTTTTATCCCCTACCATTATGTACTACTTTTTAGAACGGCAGAGCCCATATTTGTTTTGGGTTGTGATACGACTCTGAAATGAAGTTTTAACTTAAAAAGAACTCAGGTAATTTACAGTTCCACTGTTTTAGAAACTAAAGCCAATCAAACGAATACTCTTTTAGCACTATTTGATTCTAACAAAATAATTACATATGCTCTGTTTAATTCGACACACATTTAAAAAATGAAAAACCCTTGCCTTTTAAAATAAGACTAGAATCTAGTCTACATTCAAAATCAAATCTTCCGGCACTGAGTTCTTATCTTGAGCTTGCTTGATCTAATAATTTTGTTGACATGAATTACGATTAGACGTGTGTTATTTGTGTGTCATAGAAATTGAATGCACACTCAACAAAAAAAATTAACTGGCTGACAGAGTGTGCTAATTTTAATGCGATATATAAATATTTTCCATTATTTTTAAAACTGAGGTTTTTATTCTTGTAGTTAAAAGTTGTTCCGTGTGTATGTTCCTTTAACATTTTTAATCTTTTTAGACGGGTCAGTGGTCATTAGGTCAAAGGTAAACATTGGATTACTGAAAAAAGTGAGAGTTGGACAAAGTAAAATGCAGATCTATGGATTGTTATTAATAGTTAGATTTATACCTAATAATCTTATGTAAGCTCCAATGTTAGCTTAATTTTGAAGAGTTCTCAATTTTTAAGTAACTCTAGGTTTATGTGGATCCATGATTTTGGGAACATTTGTGTTCAATAGTTCATTAATTTTTTTTAGATACAATTACAATTAATAGTCCCAGATAGATAGCCTATAGGTCCGGGTCTTATAACTTGCAATGAATAGGGTAAAAAAAACTGGATGTTAGGCCACATAATGGTTTTGTTTTAATTTTAAGAAGTGAGAAATTTTAATGGGAGTGCAGTGCTACAAATTTCTCTTTGATCTCCTCACAGCTGGACTAGGATGTTAAAAAAATAACAACATATTATCTCTGCTGGGCTGAAATTTTCAAAACAGTTAGGCTTGTCTATGTTATCTACATAGTGACGTTTTTATAGTGGGTTAAAAACAGGTGAGGGCTTGAAAGTTTGAAAGAGAAATGTCTTTAAAAAAGAGCAATAGTAGGATTAATTTCTGTTTCATGACCTCCTAGCTGGACTAAGAGAGTCATAAATTACATAAAATGAATCATCTTCTTCACTGTGCAAAGAACAGAATTGGTTGAGATCTCAGAAGAAAATTACCCTATGCTTTAAGAAATCAATTAAAAATTTATAGACATTATTATACTTATAGCATTAATGATTGACATAAATCATTAGAAAAATATTACACAACACCTACAAACTACGTTATTCAGGCCTACCCCATATTGTTTAGTCACTGCTTCAACTACATTATTAAAATTAATCCCATTCTGTTATTTTACTTAACTGGTTTCTGCTAACTTTTCTTAAACATAGATGTGGTGCCAGGTTTGCTAACTTTTCTTAAACATAGATGTGGTGCCGGGTTTGAGAAAGTTATATATCAGTTAGTTTCGTCATGAGCATACAATATATATATTCTTTCTCTGGGGATCACCTTCTTATATATGCCTGGTACAGTGTGGAATCAAACACAAGTCCTATTCAAGATAATAAGAATATTGTTATTTATTTACACATCTATCTATTTACAACTAAAACTCGAATTCTACTAATACTATCTAAATACAACTAATACTTCTCCAGAGTTTCTTCCAGGCATCTCTTCAGCCCCCCCCCCCCCCCCCCCCCCCCGAGAAAAAAGTCTGGAAGAAACACTGCACTTCTCCCATGACCAACTCTAACACTATTTACATTTTAACTTTTTACATCTTTCCTCTAGCACTACCTACTAACTGCCGACACGTACTTCAGTGGTCATCTGCCCGTCTCACATGACCGGTCATCTCCTGCAATTCTATTGGTCTACCTGACTACGCTATGCTCTGTTTCTGCTTTCATCTGCTTGACCTCTATGGCGTATAATTTGCGTCATCACAGTAGATAATAAGCATTGTTTCAAAATATGTTAGAGTAAAGAAACCTCTTTAGTTGACAATCACCAAACTCATTATTTCAATGTCTCTACTAGACCAGGAAGTGCAAAATTTATATTATTGTAGAAAGTTAGAAGTAGGCTGTCACTTATCATGTTGTCTGGACTCAGAGTGGAAATGACATCTTATTGCTTATGAGTCATACTCAAACAATGTCACGTTTTTAAATTTATCTCACAGTGTAGACCTTTCCCCCCCCCCCCCCCCCCTTTCAAAATTGCAATTTTGTGTTAAAGAACAGAGATTTCTTTCAGAGCTATTTTCCAAGTTCAGTCAACATTGAGATTATTGATCAATTTACAAAATAGAATGTTATAAATGCAAAATAACTGCTAAATTCAGTTTCTAAAATTATTTTTTGAAATGCAAAAGTGTGAATTTTAATGTGATGTCACATAAATTGGGTTTTAAATAAAGAAATAATGTGGGGTTTTTTTGTGTGTGAAAGTTTTGTCCTGAATCTAGGGTCAGCTTTGAAGAAGTGGGACTCAAGTCACAAATAAGCCATACAAATTTACATCTAGGAAAAATATGAGTAATTTTTATAAATATATTATTCCTCCTTAGAGAAAAAAGAAAATTAAAAATAGTTAATTTCAGTTTTTAGCTTGACAACATTGTTGTGTGGTCTTTATTCATGCATATCTATTTTTGTATTGAGAGAAATAAAAACCATTAGGTTCTTACTAGATATTATTTAAATTGGTGTAGTTTACAGTGAAAAACATTTTGATGTTCATTCATCATAAATTATTATATAAATGTAAAAAAAATGATAATATAAAACCATGATAGAAAACAGGTTTGGCGAACTTCTATTTTTACTCTTAAATTTTTCTAAGTTTTCCTTGGTCTTTAAAGGAACTGAAGGAGACAACACATTTTTTTTAAATATGGTGAATAGGGGTCACACCAAAAGTAAACACAGTTTAATTTACTTTTTGTATCTTTTAAATCCTGATTTCAGTTTCTTAATGCACAAGATATTTCATGTGTCCTTTAGTGCCCTCTAGTAGAGTCCACTTGTTTCTGTGACCTTGGCATATGAAGAGATAGTGTGGTCAGCACAGAGGCGTATCCAGGTTTTCGTTGTAGGGGGAGCGAAATGAGCAAAAAAAGGCGCCGAATTTTTAACACGCTCTATATACGTGTATTATATATATATATATATATATATATATATATATATATATATATATATATATATATATATATATATATATATATATATATATGTGTGTGTGTGTAGGCTATATATATATATATATATGTAGGCTATATATATATATATATATGTAGGCTATATATATATATATATATATATATATATATATATATATATATATATATATATATATATATATATATATATAATTACTAGCTGTATGTCATTACTAGCTGTATGTCATTGCTTCACTATGATGTAAAATAAATTGAAAGTAGCACTCTGAAGAAATAAGAAAAAAAAAACACTATGTAGGCCGACAAAACAAAAATTGTATAAATCTAAAAAAAAAAAATATGCACACACTACAACCAAAAACAATGAACGTAACACAATCTGTTTTGTAATTCTTGTAAAAAAAATTCCTGAAAATATTTAAGACAAGTGAGACAGGGGAAATAATCACTCTCATAATATAAATATATACATATCTACACATTTAATTATAAAAGTCAAAACAAATAAATAATTACTTTAGAATATTATGAAATTGTTTAACACTATTCGTGGTTACAGATTGTTTTTGTCTATAATCAGAATTTAATATATCTTCATCATAAATGCAAAAGTGTTACAGCGTAATGAAAGTTTTTAAAATCAGAGTTGGTATAAAACCACGCTTTTTGATAGTTTAGAAAAACATTCTGAATAACATCCTACATTTAACTAAGTATTGGTCTTTTAGTTCAGGTCATGTGTTTTAATTAACTACTGTTTCTTTGTGTTCTTTAAAGATAATTTTTTAACATAGTGATAGGTATGGGTTAGATCACTGTATTGATCACACACCCATTTTACTGGTAATTGCAAAAACAATATTCACAGAGTTTTACGTTTAAAAAGCTAATTTTCTGGCGGCATGGTACTTTGGTACATTATTTCGCGTTTTTCTACATGTACTTAACAGATCAGTTAGAGGGGGGGGGGGTTCAACTTCATTCACTACTGTCCGGTCACTTTAGGTCAATTATCCAACCCAGTGTATACCTAGGTGTGACATTAATGTCGCTCTACACAATTGTGGTGGTGAGGTGTGTGGGGGGGGGGGAGATAACCAACTCAGATTGAACATAGCGTCAGTTTTTAGATGACTGTTCTAAACATACATATATATTACACAAATATATATTACACAAATATATATTACAGAAATAGATTTAAATAAGTAGCAGTGGTATTTTGACAATTTTTTTTTTACAGAGGGGTCCATGGGGGATGGGGATTGTAACTGTTTCATATAATTTGTAATCGTTATCACTATCGCCCAAACTGTAAGAATACTACTACTTCATCGTGATGACGGTTTTGACCTTGTCAAAATTTCTCCACCACTACACAGTTTGTTCATAGAGGTGCCACATCATTTGTTTTTGTTTCTGTATTGCATTTTTTTTTAATTAATCACACGATTCAAACTGTATATATAAAGTAATTATGTGTGCAGTTTTATGTATAACATTTTCTAATTCAATTATTCGTAAGCAAATACATTATACAGTTGCCGTAAACGTAACACCCCTCTTGCCAAGTGGTACTACATGTAGAGGTTTTTTTTTAAAACATTGCAATGCATCGTAATGGTTATTTTTAGAATGGCAAACTGATGCAGCTGTTAATAAGACTAAGTGTTGTAAACGTAGACACTACTAGACTAGTACAATAATGCTTTCATTGCTGCATGAAAAGAAATCTTGTGATTTACATAGATGTGCCGACCAAAAATATTTTTTTAACAAATATCATTGTTTAAAACTTTGAGTTTAAAAAGTTTCCAAAAAGGCGCCACTTTGCTGAAAATGGCCAGAGGGGGAGCGGCCGCTCCCCCTGCTCCCCCCCTGCGTACGCTACTGGGTCAGCACTATGCCCAACCGCCTTTACTTTCCCTAACTTGAGTTAGGTACCCATCAGAGTTGGGTGGACTAAGGGACGGTCTACTGACTTGAACCCGGATTCGAACTCAAGACTTACGAGTTAGCAGTCCAGCTCTCTACCGCTAGACCACTCCGTCCCTATAATTTAATGTGACTTTCAAATAATTAGCACGAGCCGACCCGCGGCATATCATGCGCTGCTATTTAGTTTGGTTGTTTTATTTTCTACTTTGCAGTAATTCATAATTTATGAATTCGACAGTACCAATGCTGCCACTGAAAATATTTGCGTTAAAACACTACCAGTAGGTCGTTAAGGACGATACTACCCCCACCCTCCTTCCCCCTACCCTACACCCCCCCCCCCCCCGTGAAAGCAGCCTCCTCTTAGTTACCTCCCGTAAGTTTAAAATCTTTTCAAACTAAATTATCTGCCCCTAATAGCCGTCACTAAACCCGGCTCTACGATTGTAAACATTTAGCTTGAACCACAGCTCACCAGACCATGTAGGGGTGGGATGGTAGGGAGCTCGCTTACAGCTTGTTTTCTAGCGTCTCCAAGAAGAGAATTATATATATAGATAATTGATTTTTTTCTCATCACAGGTAAAAATGGCATCAGGGGGCAGATTTGTCCCTGCCACAGGGATGACATCGGCAGAGCTTTGTGAATTTGATGATCTATGTACAGGCATGATCTTGGATCCTTATCTTGGCTTTATGACACATAAAATGAATATTAGGTACATTTACATAAATAGATGTCTGAAGTTTTATGTTAAACATTAAATGTAGGATAATTAATGTTCAGCCTCTTTTAGCTTAATATACATTAGTAGTTGGTCACTGTTCTAATACGACTGTGTCATTAAGATGCAGTTTTATAATGTTAGAAAAAAGACATACCATTTTCTAGTTTGTAAACAATACTTTAAACATTGTTACAGATTGTTACAGTATTAAATAATCAGAAAGTTTAAGGAAGTGAAGATGGAGATAAAATAAGTTGATAAATAAAATCACTTATCATACAGGACTCAAATTTGATAGTAAATATTTTAACATTAGATTTTGTCTTACAAAACATTTTACTATTTCATTCAGATTTTCACCATTAAGTGGCCAAGAAGAGTTGAAAAAAATTGTGGCACGTTTTAAAATCTCAAGGAATTATGAAGCCACACTAAAAGCTTTGATTGAAGTTGACTCTGCACGCACAGCTCCTTACAGGCGAACTAACCATCAAAAGAAATTGCTAGAAGAACATGTATGTAGGCTAAATAAAATTTGGATTTTTTTTCAAGAATCGTTAATAATAAAGTGATTACCAGAATATCTTAATTACTTTTGTTCATCTTAGAGATAATTTCTTACCATTTGATAAGTTTTTGAATAAAAGTATTATATGTTAGAGCTTTTAAAAGTTAAAATTATTGTAAATTTAAGTAATTCTTAAAGTTTATTAGTGCAGATTCTATCAACTTAGCTTTGCACACATAACAAAAATAATTTAATTTATTATTTGTTTTTAATGGTAAACTTTTTCAATATTTGAAAATCAATTATAAAATCAAGGTAAAATTTTCAGCTTTTTATTGTACATTTTATATTTGTTTAAGAAGGGATGTTATGGCTTTGCTACTTTCTTTTAATCTCTTTTAGACATATCGCTACCTTCAGATGTTTGACTTTATTTCTGGGTTTGAAGTTCTGCCTTGTTATAGATACTCTATGGAAGGGCGAATTGGAGGCAAGCTTTGTGCTACAAAACATTGGTACAGAATTAACATAACTTTGTTATTTAAAAAATGTTAAATTGGGCATTAATGTGAGAGAGAAATTTAAAACTACTATCATCCAGCCTGTCTCTCTCTTTATTTTCTTAACATAATTTTTAAGGAATTATAAAATGGGCATTGTTTTGTATTTTTTAAACAGATAATTATCACTCTTGTTATTTTAGAATTTAACTTTATTAATTTATATACATTTTTAGATTAGCTTAACATGCTCTAACATTATTTTTAAAATCCAGGCATAAAAATGACAAGATTGAAATGCTAGTGGGTTGTATAGCAGAACTTAGCTCCAAAGAAGAATCCCAGCTTTTAAAGACTGGGAAAAATGACTTTAGTGTCATGTACTCTTGTAGAAAAAACTGTGCCCAGCTTTGGCTTGGGCCAGCTTCATTTATTAATCATGACTGCAGACCCAATTGTAAGGTAGGCATTGTCACACATTTTTAAAATTATGAAGTTTTTATGTACATTGAAAATAAATTTTGAACTTGCTGTTTTGTAACTATTTCTGCTTAATTTTATTCTAGTTTGTTTCTACTGGGAGGGACACAGCCTGTGTAAAAGTGTTGCGTGATATTCAGCCAGAGGAAGAGATAACATGCTTTTATGGTGAAGATTTTTTTGGAGACGGCAACTGCATGTGTGAATGTGTCACATGTGAGAGGTATGTAGAGAGAAATAATTTATACAATTTAGCGTTCATAACTCCAATTTTCACTGCACTTTTTTAAGCAGGTTAAGCCTATTGGTATATTTTTTATTATGTATAAAAAAATTTCTCCTTTGACATTACTTTTTTATTGCGTACATTTTAAAGTAATTGCTTTAATTTTTTGTTTGATTACTGTAATGAAATCAGTATCTTGATTTCTGAATTTTATAATTATTTTACAGGTATTTTTATTACAAATTATTTGCTCTCGTTGAATGCAAGGTCTATACATTATCATTAATTTTTACCAGTCATATATACTAGCTACCAGTTGATACAGTTACAATGGTTATAAATGTAAATTTTTAATGGATCTACTAGAAAGATGCAATTGGAAATACTGTTTTCAATTATTGTAAGTTTCTCCTGGGCTAATGAATATAAATAACTTTAGAGATTATTTTTTTCTAGGCGTCACATGGGGGCCTTCAGACCTAAGCAACCAGTGAACCTGTCCTCCCAGAAAGGGTATAGTTTTAGAGACACTGATGATAGAATCAACAGACTCAAAGATAAACCATCAGAGAACCAGCCTAATTTTTCTGGAGTTATTGTTACACCCAGTGGTCAGTACTTGTTCACGCATTTAAATAATAATTGTTGCATTATCCTTAGTGATTAACTCAAGTGTTTCTTAACAGGGGTGGGTTGGCTGTGTCCAAGCCCGGGAAATAATTAAAAGAAAACAGTCCCCTCCCTACTTAAATTTTCAGAGTGTACTTTTTACACCCAAGCACATTGACTGACATAGGCGGATATATTCTTGACTTTGCAGCCCATCTTCAATTAGCCTGTTTTGGTGGCCAGTCCACCCCCAGTTATTAGGGATAAGGAAACAGGATGATATCTTTTAAATATATAATACATGATGATAAATATTGGCATTAAGTCATGAGTACATTTTAAAATTTAATTAATGCATGACTGTTTTTTGACGTGAGAGTTCATAATTTTTTTAGCTTTGTGTTTATAACTTTGAATTCTCCTGTACACAATATCTTCTTGACTTTGCAGCCCACCTTCATTACTGCCTGTTTTGGTGGCCAGTCCACCCCTAGTTAATAAGGGATAAGGAAACAGGATATCTTTTAAAAATATAATACATGATGATAAATATTGGCATTAGTAACCCATTAAGTTATGAGTACATTTTAAAATTAAACTAATGCATGACTGTTTTTTGACGTGAGAGTTCATAATTTTTTTAGCTTTGTGTTTATAACTTTGAATTCTCCTGTACACAATATCTTCTTGACTTTGCAGCCCACCTTCATTACTGCCTGTTTTGGTGGCCAGTCCACCCCTAGTTAATAAGGGATAAGGAAACAGGATATCTTTTAAAAATATAATACATGATGATAAATATTGGCATTAGTAACCCATTAAGTTATGAGTACATTTTAAAATTAAATTAATGCATGACTGTTTTTTGACGTGAGAGTTCATAATTTTTTTAGCTTTGTGTTTATAACTTTGAATTCTCCTGTACACAATAGCCGGAAGTTAGATCTGTTTTAAAGACAAAAATTTATTTTTATCCATTCATCTTATATGTAGACTGCTTATCCCTTTTAAACAGTAACTCACTTCCTGCTATATATACTTCATTTAAATTAAGACACTTCTCACTTGCTCTTTGTAAAGTAGATGACACTTCTTCTCCTTGACAGAGTCTTGGGACAACAGAGCTAAGAATATGGAATCTCAGTCACACCTTCTAACACCAGCAGAGCTAAAAAAGCGCGGCATCACCCGATATGACGCTGAAATCATCATCTCCAATGGCTTGCCTCTACCAGAGCCACCAGACCCAGGCAAATCTCAGATATCCTCACCTGGCAGTGTTCTATCAGATTCTAAATATCTACGCAGCTCCTCATTATCTATAAGTAGAAATGACTTTGAAAAGAAAAATTCACACTTAAATATACGAAAAGAAGTTTCTAGTAAAAGCAGCTCGTTAGGAAAATCGAATAGTTCAAGCAAGCGAAGGAGCCCGCGGAAAAAATACTGCTCACAGAACAAAATAAAACATTCCCCTGAGGTTGTTAAAGTAAAGCAAGAACCGTTAGAAGTTGATGATGATATAGCGAACAAAAAACTTGGTTTAGATGCTTTAACAATAAAAGATAAGTTTTTAGATTGCTCGACACCTATAAGGAAAAAATTGAAATTAGAATCCAGCAGTGATCCGACTGCAGATGATGGGTATGAATATACTGATGCTGAACTGCGCAGTCATAATTTGAGTGACTTTTTAGACAATTCGCCTTCGTTAAAAAAGCACAAAGACAGGTTAGGAAATGAGCTAATGAACCACTGTAGGCTAAGGGATCAAAGAACAGATTCATCAGATAGCAGTTTGCCACCCCTCATTCCAATTGAAGCTCAGTCATCTTCACTGAAACAAAGGGACCATTTCTCACCAGCTGGCTCCCTTATCAAAGCCCCTTCAACACCTGTAAGGCAGAGCCCTCGCTTACACGGGCAGCAAAAGCCTTACCCCGGCTCTAAAAACTTTTTAGGAGAAAAACATGAAAGAGCAGTTCACTTGGCCAAGGAGCTGAACTCTCTAGTAGCAAAGGCATCAACATTCGCTCAACGCTTGACGGATCTTGTTATGGAATCATCTTTAAATGACGGTAATCAGACATACCAAGACCCTCCTGTTCTAGAACCAGAGGCTCCTATCATTTCCCCTTCTGTTTCAAGGAGGTCTTCCGACGATAGCGCTGATACAATATTTTCTAATCTTATTGATCCAACAGCCCCAGACCTGCATTTATCTCACCGCAGGTCGAAATCTGTTGATGAAGACCAGTTTGATAGTGTCTCTAAACCCTTCTGTTTACTTAATCATTCTAGGAATGGTGAAGACTTGTTTTCTAAGTCTGATGGGTTTAGATACCGCAGGCGGAATAGCACAGATGAGTATGGGAAACCACCCTTGTTAATGAAGAAAGACAATTTTGATAACGGTAAAGAAGTTTTGACTAGAATGGACCTCCACCCAGAGCTTTTGAGTAGCCACATACTTAACCATTGCAGTGTAAAAGAAGACACTTTCTTGAAAAAATCCTCAGCGAAAGATCAAAGTATAAAGAGAGTTCAGGGAAAAAGTGGAAGGCAGCCTAAGATAATTTTTAGAATGAAACGTGACCCTGAGCTTAAGAAACAGATACGTGCGGAGAACGCCCACTGCCCAAACTCCAACCTGCAGTTTAAATGGGACGATGACAGCGATGGAGACCCAGGGTTTTCCCCTCCTCATCGAGGGGCCTCTATATGTCCTGCCAAGGACATTGGTAACAGCACTGGGAATAGAAATATTTTTGAAAAGATGAAACATGGAACTCTTCACGCGAGCAGCTCTGATTCCATGCTGTCCACTTCACTTTCATCTAACGAAACCAGCGCGCGTAGAAAAGTCCGGAAAGTTCGTCTGAAAATGATTGACACATCAATACATTTTGATCTCATCTCACCATCAGCTAGTCCCCCAAAGACTTGAACAATGCCTCTCATGGAATGTAACGTTTGTAGATGTTTGTATCTAATCAATAATGGTACCTAAGTTATTTATTTTATGTAAATATTTTCTTTCTCTCCACATTTAAATCTCGGTACGATCGTGAGCTGTTGCATGATAAAAATTGTTGCTTCACCTGTTTAAATAATTACAGATACAACTTTTGCACTTTTATAGGTCTAGATTTTCACCTTTTATTTTAAAGCGGACATTCTTGTTAATGTCATGTGAAATTATTATATACATATTTATATATTTATATATTTAATTAGTCATCACTGAAATTAAACAATTAAAGAAAAATTAGTCTACAATTAAATGAATTTTTATTTTAAATATGAGGATTTATTCACTAATTTCTTTAAAAATAATTTAAATGTTATAACACCTGTTTTTCACTTGTTAAGTAGGTCTCAACTGCTTCATGAAAAAAGATAAACATCTGTTTTGTTGTGATATTGATCTGTTAGCATTTAAAAACTGAATATTTCTGAGCCTTATATTAATATGTGTGCTATCACATGTAGAGTTAACTATTTTGTTAATTGTTTTTATGATGTGTATTCACCTAGTTTTTGTATCATTGTTAAAACAAAGCAGCTTCTATGAAGTCCCAAGAAAAATCCACAAGGGTTTAAGAACATGACTGCAAAATGGCACATACACTAACCTGTATGTCACTGAATGTGGCTTAAAAACAACTTTTAATATTCACGAAGTTGTAACCTTGAACCATTATGTAACACCTACAATATTTAGCCCCTTAAAAAAAAAAAGAATTAAAGTTTTGTAGATTAATGGCAGGTGGATTCTATTGCTTTTGAACATTTACTTTATTCATTTTTATTTTTGTGCACTTTAAATAAAAGTGCTGAATTATCCACTTTGTTTTTCTTAATTTACAGTAGTTAAACATATTTAGTTTTTTTTGGCCATTATTCAGGTAATCTTTGGTAATTTTGTATGTATGGTATATTTGTTTCTGAACATTTTATTTATATAAAAAAGTTGTCTTGATTATAAGACAATTTGAATTTACTTTTTAGCAATCATAAATCAGTTACATTGTAATGAATGTGTTTCTGTGTGTTTCTACCGTTAAAATACTCATATATGAATGTTAAATTCATATTAATAGATTTACACTGATTTCAATTATTTCCTGAAAGTTAATCAATGTGTGTATGAATGTGTGTATATATATATGGATTAGTTACAAATACACTTCTTTACAAAACCCATTCTACTGACCCTCATGTTAAAGTAAGAATGATTGTATTTGGCATGTTTGAATGCCATGGACTAAACAATTCCATTGAAGATAATTTGACAAAACCTTGCAGCTGTTAATACTGCTGAAGTTTTAATAGTTTAAGCATGATTATGATTAACACTTGTCCAAAGTCCTCTATTCTGTTTATTTTTACAACTTCTCTGGTTTAACAAAGCAGCCTAGTTACATTTGTTTAATACTGCTACCTTAATCCTAATGAAGAATGGTGTGCTATTTTTGTATCACTGATATATTTTAGTTAAATATATATTTATAAAATTTTTAAAACAAATGCCATATTTTCAAATATTTTTTTTTACTTGTGTAAAATCATTTGAATGACACTTTTGTTGAAATGCACTAACTGTGATTTCATTAACACATTGTTAAAAAACAGAATTAAATTAATAAAAGAACGGAAGCTTTTTTTATTTTACTGTATGATCGCTTTGAAATCAAAATATTTAGCTCACTATTTGTTTTAGTGATTTGATTGGATTTGTTTCAATTTCTAGTGTAAAAAAAAAAAATGTGTGAAAACTACAGTTAAAGTTTGTTTTAGGCAGCAGAAATGTTGATTTTTTCTTCTTTAACTAGCGCTTCAACATTTGTAGAATTTTTTGAGTACATCGATAACCAGTAAGCACTATTTTCATTTGAGCAGTAAATCAAAAAGTGGCTCTCACTTTTTAAGACTTAGTTTTCACTCAGTGTAAGTTATGTAAAATCATTTGACACTTTTGTTGAAATACACTAACTGTAACTGCTCACACTTTTTGACTTCTAAAAAAGAATTATTAATTAAAGTTTGTGAATTAAAACTCTAAATCTAATATATAAAAAGAACAATTTTAAAAATAGTAATAAGTAACCATGTAATCAGTTGCTGTATTGGTTATTTTCTTGCTGTAATCATGGATATAGCTTGAAAAAATTAATTCTTGCACCGTCTTTGCTAAAGAAGCGCAATGTATTTTGTATTTGAACTTTTTAGTTTGAATTTTTTAAGTTATTACACTCACTTAATACTTGTCATTAATTCAAAACCATTCAAAATCGAACAAAGAAATGTTCATTTCACTATTTATGATTTAATTTGATATTGTTCATTGTCATTGATTGCTTTTTTTATATCCTATTCAAAATTAATCTTTAACATGTTTGACTACAATTTCTTAGTTTAGGCTCATTCACTATAGTTATTAACCCTTAATAATACTATTATAAAACATTAAAATGAAGTGGATTTTGTAAAGTAATATTAAAATCTTTAGATACATTTGAATTTTTAAAAAGTGATAAAGCATTTGTTGGACTAATAACTCATCAGTATTAATGAATTGTGATTTAAGCAAGTAAATAGTATGGTACTGATTATAATTGGAACTCATGTACATGTTTTTCTAAGTGGGAGTTGTATAGAAAATTTCTAGAAACATTTGTTATATATTAGCACAGTGATGTAACCTTCAATTTTTTTAAAAGCAAATTCTATTTTTCCTTTGAGAAAATTTTTCCACTCAAACATATTATTGATTCAAATTTTTATGTATAGTAATATTTCCTTAAGGCGTTAAAACTTTCACCTAAAATAACCTCAAATTTGGCCTGCCTTTGAATTGTTGTCAGAAACGTGGCTATGCATCCTTTTTACGACATGGAAAAAACAAACTTATTTTGAACAAAAAAGCTTTTTAAAAAAGTCCCTAATGTAAGTTACATTGCTTACAGTTACATTGCTGTAATTGCCACCAGTTTAATCTTTTGTTGAGGAGTTTAAAAATGTTAATATTGGGTTTTTATTTCAATTACTTTCATGTTAACATCATAAATAGCTTGAGTTAAAAGAATTTGTTTTACTGCTTTAGCGTTGCTTTTAACACAAAAAATAAATTATATTTTAAATTTTTCTCCTCTGGTAAATTAGCTAAAAAGTTATCACTTAAAGTTAAGCTATATTATTTTTTTATTATTAAAAGCCTCTTACCAGCTGACAACATTTAAAAAATCACGATAAAAAACCTATAACCACTGGACCAGTAAACATTCCATATCACTATAACAATACACAAGTCAACTTGCAAGCTGAAAATTGTGATGGCTATTGAATTTCATTTCATATCATACATTTTAAAATATTACTGCGTGCCATTTTCAAATTACTTCATTTTGTACAGACATTTTTTTGTTCACTTTTTCTATTACTATTACTTACCTCTTAGCACTATTAAATCCCTCCAGTTGTGTTAGGTACTGTAGAATAAGATAGGTGGGAAAATGATAAACATGACATGTATATATAGTTCATCTAAACCTCATCGGTTTTCCTGGTCTGAGATTTATGGTCCTCTATAATTGTATAAACGAGGGAGAAAAGTTTAGTATTGTATGATAATTTACTGTGTTTTTTACCAATCTTCACCATTTATCCTGTGATTTTATTATTGTTATTATGTTCATTTTGAACATAATTTGAATAAATAGCAGCATTGATATTACATATGTTGAACAATGGGAACAGCTGGTTTTTTTTAAATTATAAATGTCAGGTTAATGTATGTTGTATATTGGAATCATACAGCACTGCTAGAGTTTTAGCTTATGAGAAAATGTGTTTATCATCCTTGATAGTTTCTACACCAGTGGTTCTAAAGTTGTTAAATCTGCTTTTGTTCTACGTTTTAGTTATTTGAATTCATTATATTAAAAAGTGGGGACTTTGTGGCTGTTTTAAAAAGTACTTTAACACAACTGTAAGGTGGAATGATATGGTCAAGTGCAATAGGACATGATTGATAACATGAAAGCCTCGAGTTCAGTTCCAAGGCTTGAGTATGTAAAATGTCCCTGAGCCTACCTAGCTTCATTGGGTACCTAACTTGAGTTGGGGAAATTTAAGATCGCTCATATTGTTTTTATTACACAATCCCTTCATAAGAAGAGGTCTAAGAAGTTGACTAGTATGTGACTTTAATACAGTAGAAATTGTATACAATTAATTTAAATGGTTCTTAAGTACTAGAGCAAAATTAAGCAGTTTATTTTTCTTTTCACTATTGCTTTGATGATTGAATTTTAGTAATGGTTTTTTATAACCATTTGTGTATATCATATGTATACATTTCTCTCAACAGTAACTCTTTTCAAAGTAGTGCATTAACATGAAATAATGTGTTTGGACTAATTACATTAATTAGGTTATTAAATCAATTGCTGAGAAAACTACTTTTTATAGTACATACATATTTATGGTATTGCATACAATTCAACTGAACAGCTGTTTTGAATGATCAATGAAGTTTCGAATAACTAATTAATTAGGCAATATCACTGAATATCAATTAAAACATGCCCAGGCAATTAATTCTTTATTGGAAGAGGGGAAGAGGTTGTAGGGATTATTATAAATATTTATAAACAGTGGATCTTGCCTGCAGAGGCGTAGCGACCCTTCCCGGCGCCTGGGGACATACTTTCAATTTGGCGCCCCCCTCGGGAGCAAATTTTTGATTTGCACCCCCCCCCCCAAACTTTCGATTTGCACACACCCCCCCCTCCTCGAACTTTTCATTTGCACCCCCCCTCAAACTTTCGATTTGCACCCCCCCCCCTCGAACTTTTCATTTGCACGCGCCCCCCCCCCTAAGGTCGGCGCCCGGGGACATATGTCCCGTCCCCCCCCCCCCCCCCCGCCACCCCCCTCGCTACGCCTCTGCTTGCCTGTGCTCTGTGTGAACTAGGTTGTTCTATTATCTCTGGTTTAGCTACACAAAAAATTATCTTTCATAATTTTTGTAAATCTTAAAGTTTTTCTACATCTTATTTTCATTTATGTGCAAAAAATTTTTTTTTTAAATTTCAAACTTTTAATCTTTCATGATGATTAAGAAAATATTGTTTTCATAGTGAACGTTTCTTTGAATAAAAATAAGGATTCTGCTAAATAAAATATTCTTTAAAAAAAAAAAATCAACATTCTGGCCTAAATAGTATAATTAGTAGATCTATAACATCCATTTCTTGAACCACTGTTACATCTCATTTTTCTGATATGTTTTTGATTCAGTGATCATGCATAAGTGGAAACCATAGGATTACTCCCTTTTTTTTTTCATTGTCTATTTATTAAACTAAACCAGCTTAATAATGCAAAAATAAGAGATACTTTTAAAATTAAACTTTAAAAAAAAAACTAAAACTAAAGAGAAACTAATAACTAACTAAAGAGGTGACGAATATTTCAATCACAGTTCAATACTCTTAAACCTTCATAGGGCATGTTTTTTTTTTTTTAATTTTAGGAAATATTTAAGTTTGTAAATATGCTGAGAAATTGTATACAGTTTTAGCAGTGAATGAATTTTTATAGACCATTGTAAAAATGTATGAATAAATTGATTGTTGTATAATGATCTCGTTCAGTAGACATGTATGCTAAGGCTGAGAGATGATTGGTTTGCTTCATATAACTCTGTTGTAATAAAGTGTTTGTGGTTTGTATATTTATTGATCAATTTTTTTTTATAAGTCTGGCTTATCCCTGATGCATTCTTTGTTTGCTGTACCAAGAAAGGCTCATGTGGTTTTCATCAAAGTGAATCAGAGATAAATCCAAAACCTTAGAAGCTCTAATTTTTGGGTGCTCTATCTATCTGTTTGTTTGTCTGTTTGTCTGTCTTCCTGCCTATCTATCTATCTATCTATCTATCTATCTATCTATCTATCTATCTATCTATCTATCTATCTATCTATCTATCTATCTATCTATCTATCTATCTCTCTGTCTATCTATCTATCTATCTATCTATCTACCTACCTATCTGTAAGTCAATCTATCTCTCTATGGCTGTCCATCTGTTATGTCTGCTATTTAATGTATCTATTCTTTATGCCTGACTGTCTGTCAGATAGATCAGACATCTCTAGCAGTTTCATTCAGGTAACTCAGAGTGCCCCCCCCCCATCCCCCCTTCCCAACTCTCTGAAACGAAATAGAAAAGTACATTGTAGAAAACATATACCTTATCCAGGTCCCCCTCACCCGGGATAAAAATCTATGGAACAAACCCTGATCACTTATTACATATTATCTACGTTTCTATACCTACGTGTGGGATTACTCTATCTTTACGATGTAGGCCTATCAGTACGGCAGTAGTAGAAGTCACAAGTTGGGTAACCGTACATCGTCTCGCGCGGCTGGGCTCTCCCTCTTAGCAGGGTGATGCAATATGAGTTTCTTTCAGGCATCTCTGAGTACGTCTGTCCTTCCCCCCCCCCCCCCCCTCCTGACCCGGGACGAAATGAAAAAAATTATAATGTATATAGATTACATATACTTAATGTGTGTGTCGTCATCCCCCACCCCCGCCTCGGAGGAAAATGACATCCAGAAACAAAAAAAAAAAAACAGCGTAAACCCACGGCTTAAAGGTCTTTAGACGAGCAGGTTATGATAGTGGTCCTATGAGAGCAACAAGGGACTTGACTCCTTAAAAAAAAAAATAGAATCATTTTCCGCAACGCTGTTTCCTGCGCCCAATCCGTTCATTTCACGTTACTATGCTAATTTTTTTTTTTTTTTTTTTGCATTGCGCATTTCTGCCTGCGTTTTTTGCTTCTCTGCGGTTTAATAATATCTTCACATTTTTAGTGTTTTTCATGATTTCTATCTATAAATCACCGTGATCTCAGTACAACTTGTATATACAACTATCTATGCCTCTATCCACAATCAATAATCATCACTGCTCTTTTACATCCTAGCAGTGGCGTCATTAGGTCGGGTGTCACCCTGTACGGTCACTGAGGGTGCTACCCCACCCTTATTTTAAAAAATAGCATTTTCATTTGGGTGCCACTCCTCTATCTTACTATATTATTATTTTAAACTAAATAAACCATTGTTTTGACAGTATATTTTAGGATTTGGTGCAGAGGCGTAGCGACCCTTCCCGGCGCCCGGGGACAAACTTTTCGATTTGCACCCCCCCTCAAGATTTAGATTTGCACCCCCCCCCCCTCAAACTTTCGATTTGCACCCCTCTCAACCTTTCACTTTATTTTTCCAACCCATTTTGGCGCCCCTATGGTCGGCGCCCGGGGACCAATGTTCCCTCTAAGGGGGAAAAGCTACTGTGCAAAATGTATTTTATGTGCGCGGTGTTCTAAAAGTCTTATACAAGGATATATTTATTTTACAAAATCACTGCTCGGCAGCTCAAAACTACTGCGCGGCCGCGCACCCGCGCAGCTTAGAGGGAACATAGCCGGGGACATATGTTCCCCCCCCCCCCCCTCGCTACGCTACTGATTTGTTGTCTCCCTCCTTAATGGTGTCAACCGGTGCTGACTACATCTCCGCCTTGTGAAGCGACTACTTTTCCATTATGCTTGCTCAAGGGCGTCCTCATTGTCTAGGCTATTTTAATTGTAGGATCGGGCCAAAACTTTATAGGCTACTCTCCAACAATAATAATATCGCATAGCTAACTATAAATTACTTTTTAAAAATGTAAAAGGTCCCTCGTTAAATAGTCCCTCTGGTTGCTAAATCAACCCTCACACAAAGTGTAGGTAGAGTTTCTTTCAGACTGTTTTTCTCTGTAGGGGGAGGGGCAGTGGCGGAACTAGAAAAAACGGGCCACCCCGCAAATATTTTTTTGGGCCCCCCATATATGTATATGTATATATAAACATATATATATATATATATATATATATATATATATATATATATATATATATATATATATATATATATATATATATATATATATATATATACAATTCGAACATAGGATACTCAAAACTGGCCTGACCGGGTTTTGAAAATAAAAAATTCTATTAAAAATAATCACAACAACATGTCATGTGTGTGATTGCATTGGTCTGTTGTGAAAAATCTGCTTTATTTTATAATCAACTAAATACTACTAAGCCTCAAGTCGGTCAAAAGTATATAAATAATGAAAGCTTTGTATAATTAATGGTGTATCGTGTTTTGTTTATTTTTATGTTTTTTTGTATTTATATTATTAATTTTAACTACATTTCATTTTTGTACTATGCCATTCTTTAGTACTTATTTTTTCTAAAAATAATAATTAAGATAAGTAATTGCTGTTTAATTTGTTTAGTACAAACCTATTAAATGGAGCTTATGAGCAGCCCTATTTGTCTATTTAAAAAAGGGAAATAATTTATGGAAGTGGTTTGAACGTTTGCCTATCTTTCACACTACAGCTCATGTGTATATTTTTTTTTACGCAACAGCATGTCTTAGCTACTATATAACATCACTACTGTATTAGATCAGTTTGTTATTTACAAAACCACTATCAAGGTGCCAGTGGCGAAACTAATATATATATATATACAGGGGCGTAGCGAGGGGGGGGGCGGGGGGGTGCGGACCGCACCGGGTGACACCATTTAGGGGGGTGACACCAAGGCAAAAAATAGCAAAATATATAGAGAAAAACTCGAGGGGGGGGGTGCAAATCGAAAGTTTGAGGGGGGGGGGTGCAAATCGAAAATTTGAAAGTTTGTCCCTGGGAAGGGTCTCTATGCCTCTGGGGGGGTGACACCATTAAGTGCCGCACCGGGTGACACCCGACCTCGCTACGCCACTGTATATATATATATATATATATATATATATATATATATATATATATATATATATATATATATATATAAAACACGTTTTAATCGTGTATTTATTTTAGACGTTTGCCTTGTTTTCTAGAACAATGGTTATTAAACGTAAACAATGTCAGCACTGTATTTCTTGGATCTTAGTTGTTGGGGCGCTAGTTTGTCCACACCATCGCCGATACGAGCCAGCTTAGTTGTTGAGGCGCTATCTATTCGCTTCTTGTAAGGCTAAGAGCGGGAGGGGAGGTTTGGCAAAGGAACTTAAAAGGGCCAACAAAGCGCCGATGTACCTTTATTCATCTGTACCGAATGTGGGATGGTCTCAAAAAGTAATATCTAGCGGCCTCTCGCGCAATGGACGTTTTTTCAAAAGAATTTTGCCGACAACATCGTGTGTTTGATTGTAGGAAAAAGAATATACAAGAGCGTGGGATGGTGTCAATAGAATAAAGATAATCCAACCGCAGCTATAGTATTTTTTTTTTCAAAATAACCATCAGGTCAAAAATGCAAGAAATTATTTTTTTAACTATAAAAAAATGATTATGGGCGGCTGTGGGCCCCCTAAACGGCGTGGGCCCCCCCGCATTGCGGGGTCTGGCGGCACTGTAGTTCCGCCCCTGGGGAGGGGTGCAGTGTTTCTTCCAGACTTTTTTCTCCGCGGGTTTACTATATAAATTCCATCTCGTGGGGCGGTTGACTCGCTTCGAGATGTCTAGAAGTAAAATTATGTATTTTATATATAAATTCTATTTCGTTCGCCCCCCCCCCATAGGCGTAGCGACCCTTCCCGACGCCCGGGGACAACCTTTTCGATTTGCACCCCCCCCTCAAGATTTTGATTTGCACCCCCCCCCCCCTCAAACTTTCAATTTACACCCCCCTCAACCTTTCAATTTATCTTTCCAACCCATTTTGGCGCCCCGTAAGGTCGGCGCCCGGGGATATATGTCTCCCCCCCCCTCGCTACGCTACTGATATATATATATATATATATATATATATATATATATATATATATATATATATATATATATACACTGTTTCTTGATGGGGAGGGGGGGGGGGGTACACTACGAAGTGCTACTGAGGTAGATAATCAATTTCTTCTATAGCCGAGTGTTAAATTGAAGACTGCGAGGTGTCACGAGCCGTGTTATAAAAGCTTTTCTTAAAATATATTCTTTGGTAAATGCACAGTTCTTACGTGGACATCTATATAGCAATATCTTTAAATATGAAACGTCTTATATGTTATAAGAATGTGTTTTTATCGGTAACTGAACTCTTAAAATAGCCCTTCTGTTTACAATCGAATGCAAACCAGGTAATATATAAGAAAGCTTCGCGGATCATGCCGCGGTCGAAAAACCAAAACAGCATTGATTCCCAAAACAGTATTGATTTCATTGAATTTTTCATGGCTTCGCGGAGAAGTTCGATCCGCGAAGTAAACTGGGTTTTACTATAAATTCGTATACCTTTCAAACTCCGGTCAGACATCAACGTCGAATGATATTAAAACATCAACCGCTAAGAGAGACAAAGTAGTTTTGAATTTTACAGTTACTTGATAAATACAAGATATAAAACAATGCCAGCATTCAATGTTCCAGTCCCTCCATGTGGGTGTTTAGAAGTTGTGTTTTCCTTCGACACCACAGGCTCTATGTACACGTGGTTAGAGCAGGTCCGGGGTAGGATCCAGGACATGATACAACGTCTGCAGTCCGACATCCCCGGCATCAGAATGGCCGTGTTCGCCCACGGGGACTACTGTGACGTTGACACTTACGTCACAAAGTGGATCGACTTCACTACTGACGTGGCCCAACTTTGTGAATTCGTAAAGAATGCTGAGAAAACGAGTGGGGGCGACGCCCCTGAGTGCTACGAACTAGTTCTGAAGCAAGTGAGAACAGAGCTGTCGTGGACGCCAGGCTCAAGGCGTGTCCTCGTCTTGATTGGCGACGACAACCCGCACGAGCCAAAGGAAGTTTACATCAAAGGCAAGAAAGACAGGATCAACTGGCGGGACGAGACCAAAAATCTGGCAGCCAATGACGTGACGATCTACGGCGTGCAGTGTGGCCGCAACAACGCGGACGCTTTCTACAAGACGATCTCTATCGCCACAAACGGTAAACATCTACGTCTGGAGGACTTTGGGAGTATCTTCGACACCCTGATGGCTGTGTGTTACAGAGAGAGTAACGACACGGCCATGCTGACGAATTACGAAAAAGAAGTGCGAGCCCGATATGGCGATGGTAAACTTGCCATGGACATTGACGCCATTTTCGCTTCTCTACGTGACGGGGTCAAGAATACCACCAACTTGGGCGTCACTACACCAAAGAAATGTGCTGGCCTCCCGCCAAAAACGAAGAAAGCAAAAACTTTAAAACTCGTTAAAAAGATAGCACCTAAAACCAAGAAAAATGACATTGTTCCAAAACCTAAGCGTGGAAATAAACCAAAGACTCTGATAAGCAAGAAAAAGCCAAACAATTCAATACTTAACAAATATAAATTAAAAAATCTTCCGCTACTCAAGCGTGAGAACGTTCCGGAAATTAACTTCAACCTCCGAACTTTGAACTGGAAGCCTTGGTTTCTGGCATTGGCCAGTGACGAGCCAAACGAAAACAAAACCCATTGGCAGAGAAGAAACAGCAAACCAGGATACACGTTAAAAACATTACCAGCCACTCAACGAATGCGTCCTTCTAGCTGTTTGCTTGAGGTGTCCTTACAACACGGCGGGGTCAAGAGTAAAAAGTACACTGTCTTCAGCAAGTTCTCCAGTCGTTGTTTTGGAACAGTCCACTGGGAGAAACGTCTGTTCGGGTCTGACAGCGCACAGATAGACCATGCATTGCTGACTGGATGCAAAATTTACCTCAGATATTGTGTCGTGGGATCGAGGGAAAAGAAAGACGTGGCTAAAAGTTTGAAAAGATATGATTATGCTTGGAAGAATTATAAAAACATCAGACCTGGTGCCAGATATGTAGTTAAAGGGGGAATCAAGATTTCCAAGCCGTGAATAGACAGCTTTAAAAGAATCTGAACAAATGTGTAGGGTCTACAATTTTTTTAAACACATTTTATATTGTTAAAAAACTTAAATTTAAATGTTATTTATCGTATTGCATTGTGTTGACCTATTGCCCTAAGAACTTTATAAACTGCATAGATCTAAAGTGTGATAAAATATTTAAGATACTTTGTGACTTTGTCATATGTGCACTTACGTTCCTTAACGCGTAGACCTGTTGATATTCATATCCCATGTATTGTAACTTTGTAAATAGATGTCAATATATAATTGTACATATCACATAGATGTATAGTAGCCTATTTATTTAATGTGACACATAATGTAACTGTATAACTTGATGTCAAAATATAATTGTACATATCACATAGATGTATAGATCTAGTAGCCTATTTATTTAATATGCCATATAATGTAACTTTGTAAATAGATGTCAAAATATAATTGCGCATATCACATAGAGGAGTCATCCATAAATGACGTCGCGTTTTTTTGATGATTTTTTACCTCCCCCCTCCCCTCCGTCACAAAAAGCCAGCCCCCCCCCCTCCCTAAAACAGAGGCGTAGCGACCCTTCCCAGCGCCCGGGGACAAACTTTTCGATTTGCACCCCCCCTCAAGATTTCGATTTGCACCCCCCCCTCAAACTTTCAATTTGCATCCCCCTCAAACTTTCGATTTGCACCCCCCTCAACCTTTCAATTTATTTTTCCAACCCATTTTGGCGCCCCCTAAGGTCGGCGCCCGGGGACATATGTCCCCCCCGCCCCCTCGCTACGCTACTGCCCCCCCCCTCCCCACCCACGAAGAGATGCCTGGAAGCAACTCTGAGTGATGGGGGGGGGGGGGGGGTCGTCCATAAATGACGTCACACTCGTAAGGGCGAGGGGGGTCCGTAATTTTGTGACGGTGTGTGATGAGGGGGGGGGGGGGGTTCAGATGGTGTCGTCACCTTTTTGCATTATAAAAAAGCAATGTTTCAAAACGAGTTTTAGCCTTTATTTCGCGTTTTAGAAAACGGTTTTAATAAATTTAACAGGAATTGATCAAAATATTCTAGGTTGACAGAGTTTTGACAAGATTAGTGAAAAATATCGATGTTTTAAGAAAAATACAACAGCGATTTTGAGGGGGGGGGGTGTAGGCTGAGGTGTGACGTCATTTTAAGCGGGGGGGGGGGGGAGTCTGGCTTTTTGTGACGACGTGTGACTTAGGGGATGGGGAGGTAAAAATCGTTAAAAAAGCGTGGCTTCATTTATGGATGACACCTTGGGGTTTGTTTTCAAATGTGAATATTCCTTATCATGTTACCAGAGGATAAACCTAAATCACATCGACTAGCGCGATGCAGATTTAAACAAGCTCTCACAAGTTTTCTTTTATACAGTTCTTCTTAGCGATGTTGGCTTTGTACCTATATATTTAAGTATATATTTTCTATATAAATTCCATTTCGTTCGGGGAGGCGGGGAGAGGGGGGGGGGGAGCGGTAGACTTTCTTCGGGGGGGGGGGGGGGGCATCGAAGAGATGCCTGGAAGAAACTGGTACAAAATGACATTTCTCCGGGGCGGCAACTGGTTGAAATATAGGCCTATATTCTTTCATTTTAATAATTTTATCCATACGGACTAAGAGATTAATAATGGCAGCATTTGGTTTGTAGTCAAATAGCCGACTGAAAAATAAGACTTATTATTTAAATTAAAACTAGCAGTCTTTCTAAAGAACATTCTTTATTAAAATATCTGACTGCCCCTCATTAAAATCCTCAAAAGTGTGACGTCATTTATGGACGGCCCCCAAAGCTCTTTGATAATAACTGCTTTCTAGAAAATTTAACTTTTGTGTCTATACTGTATTATTTGTACACACAATATGTGATTTAAAACATGATAACAAGTAGTCTGCCAGAAACAAAAAAATAAAAAATAAAAATTCGATTGTATTTTTTAAATGTAGGACGTATGTCGTCATGCAGAATACAAGGCGGAAGTCGGTAATGGGGTTAAAATTAGAAGAAGTAGCACATGTTACCGGGTGCACTCAAATTAGCTGGCGCATTAATAACGAACAAAGAATTTTGATATATTGTTTTTTTTTAATTTAAAAATATTATGCATAAAATGTGCACAAATAAATAATCATATGCTACTAAAGCGAATAATATAATAAATCATTTAAAATTTTTAATTTGTAATGAGTAATTTTACTTTGGGAACATTCTGTTTTCCGCACAACTTTTCACAGATGTATTCTTGCCGCCAACTTGATTTCGTTCACTATGTTATGTCGCTGATTCTTACACAGCCTTTCCAATGAAAATGCCAACTACCACAAATAGTAAAGTGGAGGCTAAATTAGCCTCCCCAGAATTAGGTGACGCTGCTAAGCAGTGCATTAACTGTTTAGAAAAGAAAGTGAGAAATTTGGAAAAGAGGAAGGTAAGAATCAAAGGAGTAAATTTATTTAAAACTGGTGTAACTACTGAGGTCACTACGACTTTCTGATTCACGCTGTGTAGCATTTTTTTTCTTGGTTGTCACATCAACTAGAATCTAGACTAGATTTATCTGCTGACCATTTGCCGTTGTCGGTCATGTGTATTCATTTCCTTCTACTCTAGTGTAAACGAATAAGATCTTTAAACAATAAATGCACACACTTTTATTATTCTTTTGGCCAAACACATGACTGCTTTGTTGCAATGAGACCCATGCATGGAAAATCCAAGATGGCGGCCAAAAATTTTCAGATTTTATCCTTCACAAAGCTTCATATTTCATATGATTTATTAAGCTTGTTCTCTAGATTCTTTAGGTCTTGGCCTATTTCTAAAATGTACATCTTGATCTAGTGCCTCTTACATCTTCAAAAATGGTCATCATGGGCTTGACAAAATGTGCTTTGCCTTCCTAGTCACTTCTCTGAACTCAGGCTTGTGGGGAAATTTTTAAGATCCACTTGCACTAAATTTTTGTAATACTGACAGACCTGTGGGAAACAGGGCATTTCATATCTAGGCTCCTAAATGTTCCTTTAATGATGTAGTTAGGCCAACTAAAATTAAGACACTTGATAAACAGACTACACATTTTTGCGCTTAAAAATTGCATGAGGTTGTTTCTTAACATGAGTTAATCTGAAAAAGATTGTAATAGGAGTAGACAAAAACTTTGTTAGTATTGTCGAATCGCTATAATAATAATCGGGGGAATTTTTATACCAGTGTCCAATAAAAAAAAAGGGGTGTTAGGTTACTGGTACTAAAACACATGGCTTGCCAATGCTAACCCCAACCCTAGTCCCACCATACGACCAACCCTAATTTCTAACCATAAAACTAGTTGAGACTACTTTACTACTAACAACCTAATATACCTATTTTATGGAAGAGCCTATTATCAGACATCGAAATCTAAAATCATCCCAATAATCTATAGGCCTACATGTGTATTTACGCTCCATCAACTGTCCAATAGTACTGCAAAAAATCAATAGGCCTAATGGAATCCCTTTTAAAAGGGCATGTTAGGTTATTCCCAGTGAAAAGCTAACTTTCTAATGTGAAGGTAGAATATTAATCCTACCAGGCTACAGGCTAGTATTGATATTAACTTTAAACAAGTTATGTTAGTAGTTCTTGGTACACAGCCATAACCACAATAATAGCTTAGTTAACAACTAGTAACCTATCACACCTTATTAATGCACCTGCTAACTCAAGTAAAGAGTATCTACTAAGTTGGAGTTGGTAAAAAGAATAATGAGTTTTATGTTTCTTTAAGTAAAGTAGCCTACATCTTTACATTTTATTGGTCAGCTATTTAGGCCTAATATTTTTGTTTTTGTCAACATTTGTCAGCCATGAAATAAGCTTATTAAAACTGAATTAGTTTGGGCCTTTTATTAGATGTTAATTAAATTTATGGGAGAATGTTTATACCTGTGTATGATAATGGAATCTTCTCTAAAAATGGGGTGTTCGGTTACTGGTAGTTAACTAACTACACACATGGGTGGCTAATGTCAATGCTAACCCTGTCCCTAATCCCAACCCTGGTCCTACCATAGCCTAACCCTAATTTGTAACCATAAAATTAGTCTAGATTACAATACTACTAACAACCCAACACCCCTTTTTTTATAGAAGGTTCCATTATCGGACACCGGGCATCTATAATCCAAAATTATATATCCAAATTTATAATTAATACTATATATTTTCAATGGGACATATTAAATTTAAAAAAAAATTGGGACTATTTAAAAGTAAAATATACTCATTTTATTTTTAAAAATATTTACAATTATTTTATGCTTTCAGTCAAGAATAGAGCAAAATCAAGAGAAGGCAAAGAAGGGAACCAAACTTGAAAAAGAACAAGAGGTAAACAAAAGTTTCTAATTGACAAATTTCTAACTTTTTAAATTCTTTGATAGCTAATTCATGTTTCTATGCTATAAACTATTACCATACACATTTCACATTCTAGGTTTCCTTGAATCAATATGATCAAGTTACACATGATCTGGAGTTTGCCAGAGAACTGCACAAGCAGTTTCTTCAAATTTATACAGAGGTAATTAGTCTTGTACAGTTATAATGTATTACATGAAATAAATGTCATTCTCTGGATAAGTAGTGTGGCTATTTTTCAAACTTGTTTGGGGAAAAAAAATAAAAGAAATTGTGCACAATCATGCTCTGAATTTGAATAATTTCATAGTCATACCTATTTTACAACTGTCATTTTAGTGCTTTTTTCAAGATGCTTTTTTGCTCTGATAGTTATAGTGAATGACTTTGTTACAATGTTTAAAATTTCATTTAAAAAATTTTCAGCATGAAAAAATGTCAAAAAAGCAAGCTAAAAGAGAGAAGGCAGAGAGGCAAGCCATAGAGATCAAACGTATTAGTGAGATACTTCAGCTTCAGTCTTTGCTTGATTCACTTGGTGGTGATAAAGTAAGGGAAGATTTCAAAACAGGAAAGCATGGTGCTGTGGTACGTTTCAGCCATAGTTAAAACATTCCCCTTTAGAGAAATTTTGACGGTATACAATTCGGACCTAAAACTTAGACCTAAATTTTTTAAAACTGTGTAATGGCATTCATTTTGTATTTTATCAGGTATTAACTGAAGACAATCTAAATCAGCTGGATGAGTTGTACCAAGCCATTTCCCCTACTCGTGATGACAGTGGAAATGATTATGCCCAAAAGCTTACAACTGCTGCTGAACACTTGGTCAACATTTTGGAAGGAAAAGATCGACAAGTTGTGGGTACCACCTACAAAGAGATTAAAGAATTAATCACTCTTATTAACGGTTGTGGCTACTTTGAGAGAGCAAACAAGGCTGGCTCTGATGGTATGTCTTAAGAAAACATTTTTTGTTTTTGGAAACTACCCTCATATTAGTGCTTTTTATTTTAATTTTTAGAGAAACCATTTTACTTTATTGCATAGTTGTTCTCCACACACTCACACCTCCCTCCCCCCTTACAGTTGTTGCAGAATCAAGTGTTGAAAATGAAGAGTTTGAAGATGCAACTGGAGAACCAGTTGATAGCTTACCGATTGATTCTGAAAATGATTTAGTACCTGACCAACAAACACAACAGCAGCCTATTGATTTGACAATGGGGAACAATGATGGTATCCAGCCACAGAGAGATCATCCTACACAGGTAGTGTTTTATTTTTTAATGCCTAGATACAGGGCTATGGTGTAGTAACCTTTGCCTTTTTATCCTACACATTTTATCAGTGATGAGGCATGACCAACGTCCCATCAAAAGATTATTTTTTCTAAAAAAATTGGGTCCCAGTGTGCTTTTGTTGAAGTTCTGCATTATAAAATTTTTTAGTGAAAATAATCAATATAAAAAAATCTACTAATTAATCAAACTAAAAAAAAGTGATTATTTTTCTTTGGCACACATTTCCTTGTTCACAAGTATTCAGAAATAAATGTTATTTTTGGCCTTTGTAATTGAATTTAAATAATGCGCCAAATAAGGAAAAAAGCATAAAATTATGACTAACAAGTTTTCCAGATCTAGATATCCCTATCTAGATCTAGTAACTACTAACTAGTTTACGATTAAACTTGGATTCTGAAAAACAAATTAAATAGAGAAAATGTTATCTGACGCTGGGAGCGTCATTACCGTTTGGCAGGCAGGCCTGTCGACCGCTGGGAGCTTCATTACAGTCTAAAATAAACATTTTTTCTCATAGTACCTGGAATTTAATTTTAAAATTCAACATGAACAGTGTTCAAAACATCTTAACTGAAAATGTATTTTATGAGATTTAGGAGCTGTCAGGACAACGCTATTTTATTTTAAATATGTCCTCTTCAGCCCCTCAACACATTGGAACAAGATGCATTCTTTGCACCAAGCAGCACCCCATACCAAGCTGATACAGATTCTCAGTTCTCTCAACAAAGTCATACATCAGTATCACGGATAACAGATTTCCAGTCTTTCACCAATAATAGGCCGTTCCAGTTCATACAGACATCATATGTTATGCCAGATTCAGGTAGGTGATCTAATATATTTGTGAAAATCTATTCAGTTGCCGTCCTTAAGTCATCCGTCCGTCCCCTCCCCATTGAAGTAAGGTGCTTACTAATCTAATCATGAAATTTGTAATTTGTTAGATTTAATTGATATATTGGGCATTTCTTTTCATATAACAGTTGCTGCTGATCCAGCGGTTATAGCTGCTCAGCCAGCTGGAGCATCTGGCTTGCAATTTATGTCATCGGGATTTGATCCAGTCACTACTCAGATCCCAAAGTCAGCAGACTTATCTCATAGCAGCAGCAGTATGCAGCAGCACCAACAATCTGCACTTCAATCGCAGCAAACTCAAGACTTCAATTCTCAAAATTATACTCAGTCTGGGTTACAGGTATGTATTATTTCATAAACCTATTACCATCTTTATTTAAGGTGTATTCTTAGTTGCCATGCTGCTCTATGCAAATTTTTAATGCTCTTTATTTTTTCTTCAAGAATGATGGTATTTATGCTGCACCTGGCATGGATGATACCAACCAGCTCACTCATCCTGTCATCATGGGACACATTGGAGAAGATGGCGTGGCCACTTATGAGATTCCCCCAACAATTCCTATGCCATCATCTCAAACACAAGTGAGTAATAAGCATTGTAATATTAACCATTTCAGTTGATGATTTTGTCTTTTTGTTATTGTTGGATTTTGTAAAATAACAGGATCAAAACCAACTTGACCAGCAGCAACAGCAGCAGGAGAAAAAGTTCCAAATGAACGCCAGTGCACCAGTATTCCAGTCTATGTATGCTCAGGTATTAGTTCTTAATTTTTCGTGTGCATAACTTTCATTAAAACAGTTGTGGCTGCATGACCCATAACTGTTTTTATACCTTCCTCTTGCTTGCCATAATCAGAGACTCGGGCGTTGTCTGTGAGAGGTTTGAAATGCAGGTGAAAAATGCTAACTTGAAGCTTTACATTTCAGGTGGCCACAGGATCTGCTGTTCCGGCATCTACAGCACAGCCTGTTGTAGACCAGCCCGTCCCACCATCAGGCTCTGCTGAGTTCACCAACACACCTGCTGCAAGTGGAGACTTTGGACAGCAAGGCTCAGAATTTTCACAAAATTTCCAAGGTAACTATTGTTTTACTTGTCCTTATGAATTTTACCCGTTTAAACCCCAGCTGAATGCTAGTACTAAAACTAATTTCATTAACACTTTCCTCTTCTTATTTTCTTTGTTCTTAATACTAGTTTTGGAAGCGATTCCCTCAGACACAGTTATTACATGTTTTGTTATGCACCGTGCATACCGCTGACTCTGCTTTCATCCTGATTTTCTTTTTGGATTTGCTTCCATAGCCTTTATCCAACCAAGAACAAACTACGGCAACATTTTTGTTTGATTTTGGGATTTTCTCTCCTAGATGTGTTGCTTGAACTAGGGACTTTTCTGCAACCATGAGCTTAACAGACCCGACCACGCTGAACCCTCTCTTTTAAATTATTAATTCAAAGCTTATTCATCAGATTAGTGAAGTTCAACATATCAAAATCTGCATCGTCAACTCTGGGACAATGAAATGCCAGTTTTTCTGTAAACCCATATATACAACATTAAGCAGTTTCCTCTCATTTCTTATATATTTTTCCAAATGATAATAGCTTTATAGCAGTGAAAAGAAGTCTAAACATGTGACAAGTGGGTGAATTCGGCTGTTGCTGGACTGTAGTTGATGGATATGGCCATTACCCATTTGGATAGTAACTAAACATTTTTGTGTGTTTAACTCTTCTTTTTTCTATTCTGTTATAGGTAATAATGGATTCCAGAGTTACAGGGGTAACCGAAGTGGTTACAGAGGTAACCGTGGTGGAGGTAATGGCAGCAGTAACAGAGCTGCAGCAGCAGGTGGAAGTCCAGTACAGAATGGCTTTGGGGGACGAGGTGGCGGTGCCAATACTAATAATAGCCGCGGGGGCAGAGGTGAGCTTAATTTTTATTTGTAAAATTAGGCTTGATAAGCTTTGAAGGAAACTAGTGTTATATAAAATATACTCACTTCATCTCTTGAATTTCTAATGGTTTCTCCTTAGACTATTTTACAACCCAGGAATTATTTTTTTCAGTACCTAACTTGCCACAAAATGACTCAAAATTTTTCACCCGTTGATTTAACTCGCACACTACTGATATAAATTAATTGTGATTATTTATTTATTGAAAAAAATATTAACAAAGTTTTAAAAAGTACAAAATAGAGCTATTTTTTTCTGGGAAAAATATGCTTATATGGAAAATTAAAGTACGTCCTTTTTTCTACAGAAATCATGGATCAGATTAGTATAAGCATAAATACTTAAATTTTAGTTAATTTTATAATTCGCCAACGTAAGTGTTTAGACGCTGCCATTGAACTGTTCTGCTGTGTTAAAAAATGCCATTCTGCTAGTGGTTTTGAAAAACAATTCTATAAAATACCTCATCAACCTATTAATAAAACTACAAGAAGTAAGTTTAACAAAAAAAAGTAATAGCGATATCATGATCTAGATTTATGATTAAAACCTTGGATCGGGAAAAACAACCGAATTAAATGGAGAAAATATCGGATGCTGGGAAAGTTGTTAGGATTTCTAAAGAGTTAATATAGTTATTAGTTGAAATTATTTTATCATTGTCAACAATATAGTTTGTTTTAATGTTGCAATGACATTCTTCACATTACAGGAGGATCCTTCCAAAACTACCAATCTGGGTCTGGAAGTAACTACAGATCAGATAATTTTCAGAGTGGCTATAACTCTGGGAATTTTGCAGGAGGAACCTTTCAAAAAAGGGGTGGACAGAATTCCACAGGTGGCCAGAGCAGTTATACCCGTGGAGGTAGTGGTGCCAGTGGAACCACTGGAAGGGGTTCAAGTAATGGTAGGTTTATTTAATATTCAACTGTTTGTAGCTGTATAATATCTTAGGTTGTTTTTTTTGCTTGAAAACTAAATTTATGGTAAAAATACATCAACTTGTTAATCACTAATGTGGCAGAATACTGCATGGCGCAACTGGCGTTACTTATGTTTCTCTTGTATTATTAAGCAAAAAGCTCTTCTCCCCATTTCTACTTTTTAAATATACTATAGTAAATTGTGAGGTGTGTCCCCCAAAATTTCTAGGTGTTTTAATTATTCCTTTTATGAATGTTGAGCTTATTTTCTCCTTAACATTAGCCCTTTAGTAGTTTTTTTTTTAATTAACATCTCTAGATGATATAAGTGTTATAGATTCTGTATTTATTAATGTTTGAATTAAACATTAATTTGATCAATTAATACAATATTAGGATGGCCCACAGAGGCACTCTAACCTTTGCCCTTAGTAATAAATACAATTCAGACATATGACACGCAATATTCTCTTTGAGCTAAAACCTTTTTTTATATTCAAATGATAAAACACATTTTAAAAAATTTTTTAAAGCAAAAATGTTTAGGTCTAATCTTGCCATTAATTCTAACTTAAATTAGAGTTTATTTGTAACAAATAAGCTTCCCAATTAGTCAACGTCCATTTAAATAAGTGCCTTTTTAAGATTGTTTTTTCTCCCTTTGATTACAGGTGGGCGTGGTGGAAATAACATGTCCAGGGGAGGAACAGGAAGTGGTGCCGCAAGAGGAAGTGCTAGAGGCTTCTCCAGACCAATGCCTGCCCAGTAGCTTTATTAAACTTGCTTTTCTCAAATTTACAGCTGCCTATGGCAATGGGTTGGCTGTAAGCTGATGGGGGTAATTTAATAATTAAAAACAGCTTTTAAATAGCCTGGCTCACTTCCAGTCCACTAGCATGTAGACTTTCAAGCTTAATCGGGAATACTTTAATTTTATTTTAGTATCAAAATTGTGTGAAGTAGCGGATACTTCCACACTTTCACTATTGATTCCTGTCTGGTCTCACACAATTTGGAAATCTTTGTAGTCCTCATATCAGTGTCTCCACATCTAATAGATCATCATTTTCCCCATGGCATCCTTCTTGTTTGAGATACTCATTTTTTTTTTCTTCAAAAAGATTGTAGTTCTTTTCTTTTTTTTTTTTAAACAAGCATATAGTAGCAGGTAGCTACATTAATCAAACTTCAGCTTTATGCATATCAAATTACTGATTGCAGTATATTTTTGTGCTAGTAGTGTTCATACAATTAGAATCTCCTGTCATCTCCCTTAGTTCTGCTTCTATTCGTGGTGGTTTAAATAGTGGACCATAATATTGTAATGTGATTCATTTTATTTGTTGTGAAAAGTTTCTGTGTCTCAACAAGAAGGTTGTGTAGTAAGGAGACAGCCAGGTGGAAAAGAATTCATTTAAGCTTTGGGCACTGGAGGCCTATAAAGATTCCCTAACTTTAAAGTGGACGGATAATTTTTTATCTCTCCACAAGGCAATCAGTTGTGTGACTTTGATGTGGGAATTATTTGTGTAAGAATCAACGACAAACAATCATACATATTGGATCATTAAAATGTTCTTTTTTTTTTCATTTTTTTATTATTGTAAGATTTATTTTCCAATGTTTTTGGGCTGAGTAATTGAAAAAGTACTTGATTAATAATGTTGTGTGGAGACTGGTCATATGAGTTTTGCATACTTCAAAAAAAAAAAAACTTGTTTTGTTAGTGACAATTTTCTTAACTTTTTCCAATGTAGCTTATTTTTTCCAGCTACATGTTGTTTATAAGTGTACTGATTCATGTTGTTCAGTTAATTCACCACCATCTTCATTTTCAAAAAAATCTTCAAGGGGTTAGGGCAAAGTTAGTGTTATAAATAAACAAAACAGGTTGTAACAGTTCACTTCTTACTTAACTACTGTTTAATTCCAATGAGTGTCATGAACAAAGTTAAAAGGGAATTGGTTCATTTTTTTAATTTGTACAATGTAAAGAAAGTTTTTATGTCAAGCTAAACTCTAGCCCTAAAGACATCCTGTAATAAGATGTGAGAAGACTTGTATTGGCTAACAGTATTATGTGGTGAGGTTAAAATGACACTGATGTAGGCCTTATACTGAACCTTAAGTGCAAAATTTTGTATCATTTTTTTTTTTACTAACTGTACTTGTGGAACAGCATTTTTTTTTAACTAAAAAGAAAAGCTCTCCCCTCTCAGACTTCTTATTTTGGGAAATAAAAGTTCATTAAGTAATTTTTGTATTCATGTCTTGATTGAATTAATTGTTGTTTTAGACTGTTGTCCCTAGTAGAAATTAGACAATTTACTTATTGTGTAGTAATGGGTGTACTTGTATGCACATTATATGTATTCCTCTTAAAGCTTTTCAGGTTTAGTAAAGTAGCAACTTGTTCCATATCTATTAAAAATTTTGTTTAAGTGGTCACAGTGGTATCTACATTAGTGGATATTGTTCAATTGTTAATCATGTTTTTCATAGAAGTACAGTTCACTTAATGTTGTATTTTTGTCAGGAAATCATGTTGCACAAACCAGAACCCTATTTTTGATGGTGTGTTAGAATGTTTAGAATTAGCCTTCTTGGAAAGAAACTAAAAATATTAAAAATAAATAGCCTGATATTAATAATAGATGAATCCACACACAAATTACAGTGTTCTCAATCAATCCACCTTGTCAAATTACTTTTACAGGTATGAAGATTGTGACAACTAGAAACCATACTAATGAAACTTAAGATCTTTCCCACATATCATGAAATGTTAATTTTGTTGTTTGATGTTAGAAATCAACAACTGAAGACCATACCTTGTATAAAGCCTTACTATTGGCTAGATCAGTAACATATTTAAGGTAGGAGAAATATTTCGCAATACCCTTACACTAACAGTAGTTTAGCTGTTTATAACTGTTGCTTTAATTATTTATCAGTCTCAATGGACTTGTCTGCATTTTTGTGGAGTCTCAACCATTATATTCCACTTGGTCTGGCCTCCAACTGTGTTGTGCCATCTGCCAGAACATCTGGAGACTTACTGTTTCCATGTCTTGGGTGCCCTCTCCTCTAGGATATTACCCATGCCCCCCCCCCCCCCCCCCCCCCGGTAAGTCACATTTGTGTGATAACTACAAAGTGTGTCGAAACCAGCACCACTGCCTTCTGATCAGAGCTGCCATAAGCTTGCTTTGTCCTTTTTGACAGGTCTGTGAGGTGCTCTCCGTCCTGCCTTTCCAGGATCTGAGACAGCCGTGTGTAGCTATTCTAATCCATTCTAAGGACAAAGGCTATGGTAGTAAACCCAAAAAGACTGAAAAAGAGTCAAGTGCCTATGAGTATAAAGCACATGTAATACTTAATCGTGATGGAGGAAATCTCGTCCATTACAATAGGGCTTTTAAGTAGGTCACAACTTCTCGTTCGCCAGCTAGTAGATTTCGAAACCATAGACTTAAAAGCCCTATATTAAGAACAAAGAAGGGTCATACCTTCAATTGAAAGAAGCAACATGCTTTGTAATTTGTAAGTACCTGTAGTAAAAGTAATTAAAACTTTCCTACCAGACTGTCCAAAGGGCAGGTGAAGTAGATTTCACCTGTTTCTGTATTCTTTGTGAGACCACATGTAAAAACACAATAGTTTGATAATGGTTGTTTATTTACATATCTACATGTTTATGCTCCCTACACAAAGAAGTTTAACAGAAAATAATCTGCATACAAAGCTATAAAATCTATTTAACAAATAACCATGTAGATAGGATACACATTTTTAGTTTGATGATGAGATGAATGGTTCACATTCAAACAGTTCAGTAACTACTGGCATATTCAGCATACATTAAGTTAGCGCTTTGAAAATTAAAACATTTCAATTTCACCCATGTATCATGAGAAGTATTTTTTTTTCCAGTGATTCGGATGTTGAAAAAAAAATTTATCACACAATGTAAAAACCAACATTTCTGTTCAGTAGCAGAGAAGGTGAACCAACATGAACATTTACTGACCACAGTTAAGCTACAAAAGTGAACTAATATTTTAAGTACAGCTAGATCTAGTTCATTTATTTGGAATATAAGACAAAGGATTTTTTTAAATTATTTTTTTTTTAATTTTAAAAAACAGTAGTAAAGCTTGTACTCACTTGGGATTTTACAGAATTCTTTTACAACTGTTTATTTTTCTTAAAATAAGTTTGTATTATTTTGTTAATAGGTTAACCAGAATTTAAAAAAAGTCATAAAATAAATGACAGCTTAACCCAAACAGAAACTATATAATTGAAATAACCTTTGTAAATTTTAAAAATGTTAATTAAATCATGGTTTTTTAAAAGCAGTATTTCTCTGTAAAATAAAATAGGCTATATTGGTTTCTTAAAAAAAGTTTGAGAAGATTAATTTGATAAATAAATAATAAAAGTTAAAAAAAAATAACTGTTCTAATTGAAGTGAAAAAAAAGTTGGATTAATTTAATAAGTAATAATAAAAGTAACAGACCTAAATAAATTAAACAGACAGATTATTTTCCTATGGCAAACTGTCTTGCTATCTAGTTTCTTATATATTTTTTTTATGTCCTGTTTTGAGATGTGGTCAGTAAAGTTTCATTTAGCCGACAAAACTCGACGAACTGGTTTTTGTTGGAATATTCACTAAATACAAACGACCAATACAAGTGCATGGTTTTTACAAGTTCTTGATTATACACAATGATGGATGAATCCTTTGGCAGTAAAATGGCTGTAAAAAAATGCACGCTAAAACAATCTCACATATGAGATTGTAAAACACTTAGACCAGCTGATTTTTTTTTTCCTTCCTTAAACATAATTTGTTAATCAATTCATACATACAATATAAATAATTATCATTCCGACAAAATTCATGGCACTCGTATTAAATTACACGTCATACCGTTGCCTAAAAATATGATATGGTTCTTTAAATATGACTTATAGCTTCAAATTTGTTACTGTTGTAGATATTACATACATGATAACTCCAAATTTGTTACTGTTATGTATACATACATGGGTGACACGCGGGAAGGAAGGAAATTACCAAATCATTGGGAACTAAGATAAATAACTTTGGAGACCTCGCAGTTCAAATTTGAAAACCGAGGTAGCTAATATAAAAATAAAAGATAGATAACACTTATAAATTTCATAAGAAATTATGCTTTTACCTAGTAAGGATTAGTAGAACATAAACATTTTAAAAAAGTACATTTTACTTTTACACATTCTTGGATAAAAAGTAAAAATACAGAACCAAAAATACAAACATTTGACGCAATAAGGTTCAACGCATCTGGTCCCATCCTAGAATGGAGGTATTAAGATTATGATTTAGGTAAAAAAAGGAAAACATTTAACAGTGTTTCATTGGTCCATAGTTTGTGACCTGTTTGATAAGTAACGCAGCTAAAATTAAAATTAATGTCTAATTAACACTTGATAACCTTGCTGATGTAAAAGATAAATTGTATATTGTTAGGCAGTGTAAAATCTGCCCAAAAGAATTTTAGTTATGCCTATCCAGAGGGGTGTCAAAAGTTTAAATGAGTTTGTATTAGTTAATCTTCATAACCTTCCAAGTTTTAATTCTAGATCAATATATATCCTTATTATTCATAAAGGACAGACACTGGTTATTATAAGTTCATGTTTAAAAAAAAATTAATTTAAAAAAATTAGTATTGGAAAGGTGAAACTTTAAGCAAAGGGTAGAAACTACATGATGTGATTCTTCTGTGTTAAAAGTTAGATTGCAAAATCACTTGACAGTTAAATATATTTTTTTTATTCCTTATTGAAGATAGTTATATTACTGTATTTAGTTAACATATTTCTGCAAGCATTTCAGTTTTACTTTATTTCAAAATAGTTAAATGAGCGATGTATAAAATTTACCCCCTCGCAAAATAGTATCTGTGAGCTTATTTAAACGTGTTCACATCTTTGTTAAAAATTGTTTTTACTCAAAGAAAAATAATATTTTAACATAATTATTGTTAAAAATGCAATTTAAAAAAAAAAATGGACATTCAACAACAAGACAAGGCTTCACGAATATTGTCATCATTATACATTGAAAGGATATTGAAAAACAAAAATGAAGACAGAACTCTTGAGAACAGAGTTACTCTGACACCTTCACACAAAACATGACCGCTGTAAAGCACATGAGGAGATATTACAGTATAGGGTTTCAAATAAAGGAACAAGCAACCAAGCCTTACTTTTTAGTAACACTAACTGCCCACTAACCATGGGTAGTGAGAAATGAACAGATGTAAGTAGATTTTTATTGCACATGGGATAAAGTATTTATTAACATACAAACAAAAAGTTGCACAGAAATCGTGCAACGAGGACAAATAATTTATTTAAACATTCGTAAGTAGCATTATTTTCGTCTTAAGTTTTAACTTGCATAAAGTCTAATGTTTCAGATGATTCAGATTATACAAAGAAATAATGAAAAAATAATGTTTACTTTATTAAAATATGTCTGAATTTGTTAAGTGAGAATTTTTTTTGGGGCAAAACATAAATTTTTAGACTTTAAAATATCACGTTGTTGACTAGAATAGAATAAAAAGCAGTTATGCACAAATTGCACATAGTTCCCCGGCCTAAGCATGAGTGATATCAAATAAATAAATGTATTGCACAAAACTCCAGTCTTTCTTGATTTGACAATTAACATCCCAAAAATCTGGATGGACATGCATGAGGCAAAAAGCTGATACATTCTCAAAATTGTTTTTTACAATGTTAAAAAATGAAAAGTTCAAATTATGGAGTTGAGAAGTGAAGAGAGATCTATAAAATTCTAAATGAGTAAATTGGAGATTTAAATTGTATTTATAATTTTTAAAAAAGAGAAAAATTTATTAACATTTTAATTAGAAAATATTCCTTGATGTACAGAATTAATTATAGGAACATTAATAAATTAATGAATTTAAATCATAATATTTTTTTTCTTTGTTTCGGGTTTTGTTTTGTAGTCATAAAGAGCTCAACTTTCAAAGATTTTGAAGTACCCATGCAGGAGAATGGAGATCAAGACGGCAAAAATTGTGTCACTGGTGTGGGATAAAAAGGCAACAGCTCAAAATGGTTGCAGGGTCATACAAATATTAAAGTTAATTATAAAAAAAAAAAAACCAAACAGATTTCCAAAATGCTCCTGATTTGGATACTTGAAACTCTTCAAAACTAAATAGAAATGTAATGATGGAAGACAAATACTACAAATATTACCTATAAAAATTTGTATTTGAGATTTCAAACCTTAAAATGTAATTTATAAGAAGCAAACTAATTACTAAATAGTTATTACACCAGATTAAAGCTAATTAAACATTTGTTTATAGACTACCTGTTGTAAATGATCATTTAAAAAAAAAAGGATTAAAACATGAAATATTAGTAGGATTTTAATTGAAAAAAAAAATTGTAGTAAAGAAATGAGTGTTAAAAAATAAATTTCTTGTAAATAAATCCATGGTTAATTTAGATATTACTGCTAAGACAATAACATATAAAAATATACATTTTTAAAACGGCAAGGTAATTTTTGATGTAAATGTCATGCAAAATGTATTAACATGGCCTTTATATTAAAAATTGTTGTAATAAAAGAATTAAGTACTTTTAAAAATAAATAGTTTGCCCATTTATTTTATAGAACTAATTGGGGAATTGAGCATTATTAAAAAAAGTACTGGGATTTTTAAAAACAAATTTTATATTCATTACCAAATATTTATATAAAATGTATTATATTGCACTTAAAATAATGTATGTAGTATGTCAAATTTTGACAAGTCAATGTTTTGATAATTAGTTGTTGATTGTTGGATCAAATATTTTGATTTCTATACCATTGTGTTTGTACTTATATAACCTACCATTTTAATTTTGCTTTGCTTTAAAAATAGCAATAAATTGACATTATTTTTGCTTAAATAATGGTAGTAAGCACAACAATATCTCTGTGAATGACAAGAGGTATGAATACTATATAGTACAGCTGAAAGTTTAAGACAAAAATTGAAAGTACTAAAACTCAGATATTTTTCCCCAATCGAAACAGGAAATTCCATTGTAAAAAAAATTAAACTGAACAACAAATCAATTAATTATAATGGCTGAAAAAAAATACTGCTTCAAACATCAGACTTTATCACGATTAGAGTTTTCTGCTAAAGCTTTCCTGCTGACTGGTTTGGTCATATCACGATTTCTAGGGGGCAAAGGTGGTTTCCTCTCTCTGTCATGGTTCTAGAAATGTCAAATAAAATTAAAATTATAGGTAATTATTTCTTTACGCAAAGACTGATTATTTTTATTTCTATTAGCAGGTAGGTGAAACAAAGTTTAAAATAATTTTTAAAAAAATGTATTTTGTAATTACTTTTTAAAACAATGACCTTTATTTTTAGAAAAACATGTCTTTCTTTCTGGGTAGGTGAAACAGATTTAAATATCAAGACTATTGTTTAAAAATTATATTAGGTTTACTATTTAAATCTATTTTGATCACAAAAACTTAAATGTTAAGTATTTTTATGCTTACATCTGCATCTCCATTTTCTTTAGCAGAAGAACAATATGAAGCAGGGACTAGTTCAGAGCAGTAAGAAACTGTGCTATCTGTGCTTATTTTTCTATGATTTTCTCCCCTGGGAGAAGACATAAGTGCTTGTAAGTGTTCACACACACGCCGAAAACGACGAGATGGACCTACAGGAAACAATAGTACAACAATAAATTAAAAAAATAAAATCCTTGGTTAAATAGATTTGGACTATCAAATGGTAAAGACTTTTATAATAAATTCATCACTTTGAGCTTAAATGTACATAATAAAATCAAGATGAATGTGTACAGTTAAAAATATCCCATTGTGGCTACAAAAGAATTTTAATTTTAAGATGTAATTTTTAATTAAAAGATTATGAAAGTAAAAAAAAAAAACTACATTTAACCCATATTATCCCAAGGTCTCAAATTTTTATAATTTTTTGATATGGTTTAGCTTTTGGGCACTGAATGAAGGAATGACTATGGATTTTTTTTTAAAATCAATATTTTTTTAAATATCGATTTTTTAAAAAACGTCCCATAAATGGGACGCTAGCAACGAACGGCCCCATGTACATTTATTGAAAAATAAAATAATTTATCACAAAATATGGCTAATCACGCAAAAATAAAGCTGTATACTGATGTTGTATTGTTAGAACAATGATTACATTGTATAGGACAGCTAAAAATACTGATAATGATCAATTGGGTTAGCCATACCATGGTCGAAAATGCAGAAATTATGTTCAAAAGTCTAGTTTTATTTCAATCTAGCATCCATCAAAGTGAACAACACTTGGAAATAAGTAAAGCTGTGACTAGTACATCTAATTATACACACATGATCACAAATATTGTTATTATTCATCAAAACTGTAATATAATTAAATATAAATAATTGATTTTTTTTGAGGGGCGTATTTGAAATTTTCAGGGGTGGGGACTTAAATTTCAGGGGAAGGGTGGACATTGGTAAAAGTATGTTTTGTATATAAATTCCATTTTCTTCTGGGGGCAGAGGCCCCCCCCCCTCCTCCGAAATGATGCCTTAAAGAAACTCTGCCCTTAGTGAATTTGCAAAAGATGTTCCGGTCCAGTCCCAGATGTCATCCAGCCATCTTCTCTTTTGTTACCCTCGCAATCCCCCCCCCCCCACAGGCGTACATTAGGACATCAGACATCTTATTTCTAGGGCACGGATCCGTCTCTGGGGGCTCGTATTGAGTGTTCATGGCTCTCATCCATGTTTGCACCTCACTATGCGAACAGCTCCCAATCTAACACCAGGAATCTCCTTAAAAAGTTAACAAAGTAAAGCTGGTATCGGTAACCTTTGGAGTACACAGCTAATTCACATTTCTGCTATATGTAGCTTAAGCCCTCTTATATGAAGAGAGTTAACCAACCCCCATGACTGAATCATTTCACCTAAATCTTGGCAATTGTTATTATTCTGGTTTTTTATAATTTTAATATCACGCGCTAGTAAATTTACAGCAATACTAAATTAGTTTGTATTCAATGGTATTAAATACTTCAGTAAGTGTAATTCTGAAAACTTAAAAATAAAATGTAATTTTTTCAATATTTGCAATTTTCTAATACAATAATATATAAGAAAATATAGCTCAAGGTCATAATTAAATATCTATAAATACTACTTAACACCCCAAAGTCAACAGTTAACAAAGTCAACAATTGTTTCACCATAAATAACCATTTAACATAAATATTTGCATCTGTGTTTCACGCTTGTGTCCAATAAATGTGACGTTTGTGTAACAATCTGCATAAATATAGGTCAAGGTCATAATTAAATATCTATAAATACTACTTAACACCCCAAATTCAGCAGTTAACAAAGTCAACAATTGTTTCACCATAAATAACCATTTAACATAAACATTTGCATCTTTGTTTCTCGCTAGTGTCCAATAAATGTGACGTTTGTGTAACAATCTACATGGGGTCATTCGTTGCTAGCGTCCCACTTATGGGACGCTTGTTGTACACTTGATGTAACGAAGTAGTAAAAAAAAATTGTTATTTTTAAATTTTTATCAGATAGAAATATGGTACTGCTACAAGTTTCAAATGTATTTTGCACTTAAAATGTTAATATTTTAGAAGATATGCATTATCCTGTGCGCATGTTTTCTTTTTTCCGCCATTTTGACAAGTCCTGCAAATCCGGCACTATAACATTTTTCTAAATTAATTTTTTTCACAAAACACACACAAATTCAATAGTTTAGCCATTTTCAAATACAATGAAACATAATTTGTGTTTTAACTAGTATTTAATAAATTTTAGCAATTTTTTTACCAAGCGTCCCATAAGTGGGACGCTAGCAGAATATGGGTTAAGTACGTTATCAATTACAATTTTATTCCAAATGTTTAACTATGTCTATTTTAATGATTCAATTACACAATTTTAAGATTTAATAATCCATCACAATAATTAAATTCAAAGTTAAACATCACAATTGAAAAAGTTAAAATCTAGGAATGCCAAAATAAGAGCTCAAAAGTACTTTTAAAATAAATTACTTTCTAAGGGAAGTAAATAACGCATCCAAGTAAACTAACAAGCAACATCTGTTAATTACAGTTAAAATTAAATTTAGATAAAACCAACCTGACACAAGTGTAAAAGTTAAACAGAATGTTGTAGCAGAAGCAGCATCCCGCTCTCCAGGTGCCGGACTTATATCTACTTGAAAACGGACGTTTCTTGAAAACATGGATGATCCTCCACCACGGCGGTACTCTCCCCTGAAGGTTGTCGTTGATACAACACAGTGACTAAGGTCACAAGTCTAAAAAATAATTAAGAAAAAAAAATAGATTTTTAATGAAAAATATTAAGTTCACCAATTAATTACACGTATTTGTATTATTAAAATGGTTTTGCTTATTAGGTTAATTTAACTGGTTTTACTTTATCATTATGAATACGATGTCATTAAGTTTGAAAAATCTATGATCACTACATAGAGTCAATATCTTGCACAGCAGTTAAACCAATGTTAATTTATTCATTGTATTTCAGGTACTTAACAAGGAGTCTTTTCATCCAATTCCATAAAAATTTAAAAATAATTATAAAACGTCAATGCCGCATTCCCCTGAAAATGTATAACAGTCTCCTCCAACAAAGTCTAGTCAAGCATTTTAAGAAATAAAATTCTACCACTACCAGTGAATCACACTCAATCCAATTTAGATCTTACTTATCTTTTTGAAATTATGGAATTGTAGTAACAACTCATAAAGAGGATAATTATAATTTTGTAAAGGATTTCTCAAAACAAATTATACTAATAATAGGGACTTGATAATGCAGAATGGGACGGCCTGGCTAAGTGGTAGGGCGCTAGCTGCTAACCCGAAAGTCTCAAGTTCGAATCTGGGTTCAACTCAGTTAAACGCCCTTAAGTCCACCCGACTATAAAGGGTACCTATACTCACGTCAGGGAAAATTAAGGCGGCTTGGCATAATACAGACCACAATATACCTTCTTATACCGAGGTCACTGAAACAGATGAACTCTACTTCATCTGCCCCATGTGTCTTGGGCACAAACGGCAAAGGATGAGATGATGATAATTCAGCTACAACTAAAATCATTAATGAGCTTAAAAGCAAGAACTCACAGAAAGGAATGCATGAACAAGATCCGCCTTAACTTGTGAGAAGCTCTTCTCCCGCACCATAACAAAGTGATGTTCCTGCTCCATGCCCATGAGGCCACCAAACCAAGATCTTTTGGCTAGCCTGTGGAAACAGTACAAAGTTAAAACCAAGATCTTTTGGCTAGCCTGTGGAAACAGTACAAAGTTAAAACCAAGATCTTTTGGCTAGCCTGTGGGAACAGTACAAAGTTAAAACCACGATCTTTTGGCTAGCCTGTGGGAACAGTACAAAGTTAAAACCAAGATCTTTTGGCTAGCCTGTGGAAACAGTACAAAGTTAAAACCAAGATCTTTTGGCTAGCCTGTGGAAACAGTACAAAGTTAAAACCAAGATCTTTTGGCTAGCCTGTGGAAACAGTACAAAGTTAAAACCAAGATCTTTTGGAAATTCTGTGGAAAAAGTACAAAGTTAAAATCAAGATCTTTTGGAAATTCTGTGGAAAACAGACAAAGTAAAAAAACCAAGATCTTTTAGAAAGCCTGTGTGAAACGGTACAAAGTTAAAACCAAGATCTTTTGGAAATTTTGTGGAAAACACACAGTTAAAACCAAGATCTTTTGGAAATTTTGTGGAAAACATACAAAGTAAAAAACCGAGATCTGTTGGAAAGCCTGTGTGAAATGGTACAAAGTTAAATCCAAGATCTTTTGGCTAGGCTGTGGAAACAGTACAAAGTTAAACCCAAGATCTTTTGGCTAGCCTTTGTGTAACAGTACAAAGTTAAACAGACAATTACAACTATTCAACTTCAGTGCTTTGCTTAAACAAGAGCCTTAAAATACTTTTAAAATATTTTTTTTTGTAGAAATATACTCACTCAGGTGATGATTCAGGTGTCATATTGATTTCATCAGAGGTTGGAACTAAAATGAAAAAGACAAATTTAAAAAGTTAGAAATGAATACTCAAAGAATAAATACTTAAAGTTTATCCATTAAAAAAACTAAAACCCAAATTTTAGCAAAAAAAAAAGATGAAATATAAACTAAGTTGAATTTACTTTTAAAATGTTAAATCTTAGTTATAAGTTTACTTATGATATAATAAATATGATAATTTAAAATTTAAAGTAAATTGCTCAATTGCACACAAAGCATAACACACAAAATATTTGCAGGTAAGTTAATTCACAATCTGATAAGTAAGTTAGCTCAATGCAGGTAATCACAATACTAGTGTTTTAATAAATTAGATGCTTCAGTAAAATGCAGACAGTAATTAGTACTATATTTGTGAGAAGGTTTGGCTCCCAGTAATAACAAGGACAATTGACTCAAATGATTGGCCAAACCTAGAGTATAGAAATGCAAGTGTTAAGTGCATTTACAAACAACAGTGGAAATTTAATGATTTCTTCTAGTTCTTCATTCTGTAAGTTAAATCATTCTTTAGTTACTCAAAAATGCTTCATTAAATTAAATTTCAATGTCCTATGAATTGATTAAAAACTTTAAAGTAAAACTAAAAGGATTAATTATTTCTACAGCTGTTGGTGGGATGTAGGCAGAATATACAGTTTTAATGAGGGTTATCAACCTTGTTTGTTTCAGTTCCAAGTGTTTTGTTAGACAAAATGAAAGTATCTGAAATTAGTAGTTAACATACACTAGTAATATTATTGGTCAATAAAAATTCCAGATCTGAAATTAGTACTTAACATACACTAGTAATATTACTGGTCAATAAAATTTCCAGACTTGAAATTAGTAATTAACATACACTAGTAATATTACTGGTCGATAAAAAAATTCCAGATCTGGAATTAGTAGTTAACATACGCTAGTAATATTACTGGTCAATAAACTGACTGATAAACAGAGCTGTCACACAAAAGATTACAATCATATGATGAATAACACTTTGATTTCTAGATGTTTCAGTAACCCTTTGGCATTCAAAAAAGTATTTATGCATAGCTTAATTTTTCAAAAATCTATATATTTTATACAAGATATATTTAGATTAAAAAAGAAAAGTAGCAATAATACTAGTTTCAGCCTTAGAGGGTTACATTTTTCCAGTACAAAGTGAGAGTTCAAATGTAACAAAATGTGAATATGAAGTTACCACACATGTATTAAAATAACACGTCTTACACGATCACATTTAGTATGAAAATTTTATATCCAATAAATATTTAGAAAAAAAAACAACAACATGAATTAAATAATGAATTCCACTTATAAATGGTTATTCATTGTTATACAAATGGACAAGCTCTTAAAAAATGTTAACGGTCATCACTTATTGTTATTTATATTTTCTTAAAAAGAATACTAATGATATGATACAAAATTACACATGAAAAAATAATTATTTAAATTATCCCTATAATAATAGAAAACATTATACTTGGATGTGTAAAGCATGAAAGCAAACATGACACATGAATAATGAGATGAGAAAAAGTGAAATGACATTCATCCAGTTTGTGACAAAGAGAGAATAACAAACAGAATATCAAGAAACCTTTTTCAATGGAGAAAGCTCATGAAATATGCCGCACTAACGATGGATTAGATTTGATGTCTTAATGATACGTAACAATGATTCACAATTTAATACACACAATTCTGTAAAGGTATTGTGGTAATATGTTTCTTTTTTGATGTACATAGAATAAGAACTATGGTTTTCTCTATTTAAACAAAGCACATCAAGAATGTGTTCTTTAATTATTTTTGCTATGAGAGTATACTTTCTCACAATGATAGAGTTCCTGACGAAAACACAGATGAAATAATCAATGCCCCACTTTGTTCATCTCTATGGACAATTATTAGCACAATCAACTCCTAAATTACTATTTGTCTCCCCTTAGTATTTGAAAATATCTTGCCCAAATAAGGATTAATACAATAAATGTAATTGCTTTCAAAATTTAAATAGAAAGAATCAATTTTCTCAAAGCAAAATGAGGTAATTAAATATTAATTAGCTAATCTCCGATGGACATTGCTTGCTCAATTTGAATTTCCTTTTTGAAGTTGGTTAGAAACAAGTTCGATGAAGTCAAAGGCTTTTTGAAACAAAATTATCATTAATGTTAACCATTCTGAATATATAACCCGATAACTTTGATTTATTTTAGTAACAACTAAAGTCACTCATACTTTAGTTAGTAAGGTTAGCTCATCATGCAATCATTTCTATTAATTAATTAATATTATTAAATTATTTTTTGTTTTTTTAAATTACAAAATTAGTAGTTTTTAAAAGATATTTAAAAAACAAAATTCTTGCATTGTGAGGTTAAATATAATATTATTTCTAAAGAATAGAACATTCAAATATGAATTGATAACAATACAAAACCAGTCCAATGCAGTTATAGTGGATATTTACACACACACGTACACTCATGCCATCAATGGGGAAAAAATTGTATTATTTGCACCTGCAAGATTGTCCATTTCTATGGGCTCAGGTTGATACACTAGAATGTTGTCAAAATATGATCCAATGTTAAAATTCAATAACTCAGGAACAATTATAATTACAAAAAATTAAAAACTAACGAGCTAAAAAATGTTTTGTTTTTGTTGAAAATGTTGAATATTTGTAATATAATTCTATGACATTACTTATCTCACATGTTAAGACAAGAAGGCTTTAATGTGAAAGTTACATTGTTTTGGAAATACAGAACACTAAATGAATCAGAACTATTAAAATTATAACTTTGGAGAAGAATGATACAGAAAAAAGTGTAGTGGTATTTTAAAAAATACATCTGTAAAGGAAAAATAAGAGGAACAAAAAACTGCAAACAGGTAATGTAAAACCTTAGTTTTATGCTGTGCTTGTCTATTCTATGAATGCCACTGGGCAAAATCAATGATCTCAGGAAATTAGATTTATGAATCCTATAACATGGGAAATTCAAATGGGTATAATAAAAAGTTGAACAAGTAGAATTTCTAGGAGCCAAGTAAATAAAGTATGGAAAAAAAGGATCTCATTTAAAAAAAAAATTACAAAAATTTTTATTGCTAGGTATTATTTGTTTGAAAAACAGAAATTTAAAAAAATATGCATATGAAATTCTGCTGGAAAATTTAAAAAATGTCACAGGATTTGGAATTTTTTTTGCAGATATAGAGTAATCGTAATTAAGACTAAGAAAATTTTGAAAATCACTGCGTGTTTATAGGCTATTATTTTTAACAAATGTTGGGAAAAAAAGAGTTTTTGTTATATTAAAAAAAAGGCAGTTTTTTGTTTTCTCAATTCCTTTAACATGTAGAAAAAGATACTGCAACCGTTTTCCAATTGCTTTGTATTCAAGTATATTTTAAACATGCTATTCAGGTTTGATAGAAAAGCCAGTGAAGATGAAGCTCTTTTCATCAGTAAGAGAATTCTGCAGGCCACCATGCAAAAACACTACAATCCTACCTGGCATATTGCGTCTATGGAATCTGGGGGATCCCAGAATACTGTTTCTCATTGACAGGTACTCCCTTTCCTTCAAGACTGCTGTGTTACCATTGGCACCGTGGCAGGGGGCGTGGTTGGGCCTGTTGCCGATGAAGTCCCTATCCCTCAGGGCAGTGGCTGAATGGATCTGTTCACTCCCGCGACCTGTGGCTGCTGCCGGTGGTGAAGACGCAGGTGGGGATGCTGCGTGGCTGCATTGGTGAGTGGTCACAGGAACCAACCCATGAATCGCACCTTCTCTATCCCTGAATATGGAGTGATTTGTCCGCAGGCTGAGATTCGGTGATGCCGGCGGCGACAGGCACTCTCTACCACTAGCTCTGGCACCGATGCTAAAAATGTCTCTGTTGTTCAATGGATTCTCTTGCCGGTTAGACTGACCACTTTGATGATTCATACGTTGCGGCGCTACACCGTAACCATTTCTAGCCGCCATGACCTCCTTGTAGTCCGGTGGGCTGCTGGGGTGTCCACCACTGCTTGTACTGCTGCTACTACTGCTGCTGCTATGGTTACCAGAGTAACCCGCCCTTGCGGCCGGGTGAGAATGAACATGGCCGCTATTCCCGTGGTTAAAATCATTAGAAAACAAATTACTACCATAACCACCATCATTGGGGACCAACAAATTTGTGATAAGGTCACTAATAGTGGTGTGATTTGGACCACCCCCACTGATATTTGTACCTCCACGAGAGCCGGATGCTCCGCTTCCGTCGCGTTCCTTCCAACCTTCCCTCCCCCTCTCCTCACCTTGCATTTTCCGCCGGTGGAATCTTGGGGACCCCAGGAAGCTGTTCTTGATGGTGTTGTGTATTCTAGATTTCCACGGCTGCGGCTGTATAGACGGGGAGCCAGGGGGCGTGGCTGAGGGACTGTGCGAAGGTGTTGAGCGTCCTGCCCTTGGAAGTTTTGGACTTGACAGGGGTGAAGAGCTAGGACTCCCGCTTAAACTTGCCTTTCTTCTGACAGAAAAAATTAATCCCAAGTTAAAAATTATAACATCAATGTTTAAGGAGTCAAAATATATGAAAAAATAAATATAAAATGAAAAACATAAAAAGTTATAGTCCAATTATATAATCAATTAAAATTTGTTGCTAATCCTACTACAATGTTGCATAATACTGATTTGTTAATATAACACACCCATGCTTTCTAAAAATTTTATAATATTTGAGTAGTAATTTTTAATAGTCCATTATTCTAACTAGTTTAGTTAATGTTAATAGATTAATGACTACAATGTTACCATGCAATATTAGATTTGTTGAATCATGAAGCTGTTAGTAAAATGTTTTAATAAAATGTAGTTTAAAAAGGTGTGGGTTGTATAATGTGGGGTTCCTAAATTATACATTAAGTTCTTTGTCCCTTTATTTTGGTGAAGCATGACTTAGACCAGGATCTAAGTTAATATGGATTTATTCACTAATCACTGGTTAAATTTTACAAATTGAGAATAAAAATAGCACTTTCACTTAGACTTAGGGTCAAATTTTATTGAAAGATTTAAAGTTGTTCTATTTTTCAAAAATAGAAATAATAAATCCTTTAAAAGTTAAGCAAAGAGTGAGTTTACTTATTTACTTAAAATACCAACTCAAGGCTATTAATTAAACTATCATATTACTAGATCTTTATCCAACATTTCAGTGAACAGATAAAATATAGTTCTTTCAAAAACATTCAGGAAATTAAAAACTGAAAGTAAGAAATTTGTGTGATCTGATAAAATATAGTTCATCTTACAATCCTTAATAATGCCAGGAACAAGTTAGAGCTGTGTGTTCTGATAGTCAGTTATTGTATGCAGAGGCGTAGCAGGGGGGGGGGGGGGGGCGGGGGTGCGAATTGCACCAGGTGACACCATTTAGGGTGGTGACACCAAGGCAAAAAATAGCAAAATATATAGAGAAAAACTTGAGGGAGGGGTGCAAATCGAAAGTTCGAGGGTGGGGGGTGCAAATCCAAAGTTTGAGGGGAGGGGGTGCAAATAAAAAATTTAAAAGTTTGTCCCCGGGAAGGGTCGCTACACCTCTGGGGGGGGGGGGGGGTGACACCATTAAGTGCCGCACCAGGTGACACCCGACCTCGCTACGCCACTAAATGCATGTTACTCACATTTGTTAAATAATGTTATGAACAATGGCAAATATGTCACATAACAAGTTAACGTGTAATACTTAATTGTTTTAAAGAAATCCCGTCCAACTTTACAATTAAGAACGAAAAAAAAAAGAAAAATAAAAACAAGTAAGCTGTGTGATATGATGGTCAGTTATTGTATGTTACTCACACTTGTTGGACCTTGAGTGCTCGCCTGGATGCCACAGGTGATCCTTCACTTATATTACCTAGTGATAATCTGAGTTGGCCCATGCAATAAAAGATGGTTTCGGAGAAAGAAGAATGTCGGATTAGTATCAGGATTAGAGTAAAAAAAAATTGCTATAAATGTGGGGGGATGTTAGTTCAGGCAAGTTATTACTTAAAATGTAGTTCAAAATGGCAATCATCTGTAAGTTGTAATTAGTGTTGTTAGTAAAATAACAAAAAGATTTTTAACTAATTTTAAACCGTCACTTGTATCTTTTTCTTTAAAATATTTTGTATAATCAGGCTTAGGCAGCTATAATTTGAGGAAAATATTTACCACCAGTAACACCCAACAATTTATAAACAAAAAAAAGTTTGCTAAATATTTTAAAAAAGGTACATGTTATTGCTTATAACTATTCATTTTTCTCATTTATTTTTAGTAAAAAAAATTTCCAGAAAATTTGAAAATTGTAATTGAATTTAATGAAATCAAATTTAGTTTTAGATTATAAGTTTGTGAGGTAAAATTTTGTTTACTTTATAAAATCCGGCAGATAAAAAAAAAGATTTTAAAGTTAGTAATGCCAAGCAGTTCAAGCAGTTAAATTTGCATTTTTTGTTTATAAACATTGATCAGAAAAGTGTACAAATTCTTTTTTCCACTCAGTTTTGTTTATAAATTACATATGCAATAATTTGATACACACATTTTGTTTAACATTTTTGTCATTGGTTAAGAATGTAATAATTTTTTACCTTTAAAACCATGTTACAAAATAAATATACATAATGAGTACAAATTAGAAGAGTAGAAGGAGAATAACCATACCTTGCTTGGCCACTAAACTGTACTGCATCAACACGCTTACGTGGAGGATCAGCTGTAATTAATTGCACAAATAAATGATAATATTTTCATCTCTGGTGAAAACAGTTTTTAAAAAATGTAACAGAAAAAAATTTGGACACATCTAGGAAATGAACACATAATAAGCTGATTTCAGCGTTAAAAAAACAATACCGATACTTTAAGATAATGGTTGAACAGAAAAATAAATACTGTTCAGTAAAGACAACATAAATAGTGGGAGACATTTGGGCATTTTAAACCCTTTGCCCATTTGGGAATTAAACAACACAGAAAGCATTGATCATGCCATTTCGTTGCCAAAATAAAAAAAATAATTATGGGTTTCAGAAAAGATATTTAAAGAATGTTTAATTTTATAATATTAAAGCACATAAACTGTGAAGGCGAGGGATAAAAGAGCAAAAAGTGATTGATGTAAATGGGAAATGAATTGCGGAAAAAAGCCATAAAATATAGATTATAATGAAACAGGTTTTGGGCAGTAGAGAGGCACCATTCATACATTTATTGGGTTTAGATTTAAAAAAGGTACCAGTAATATTATTGATCTTCTATTACATGTATTAAAACAGTACATTTATTACAATTAATTTTAGATCTATAATTTTTGGTGTGCAGAATTGTGTTCATTAGATGTCTCATGAATTTTTGTTTTACTGGTTTCAGTTAAAAATGTCCAATTTACTGGGGATGTTATTTACTTTATCGGGTATTAATGGATTTGAATAATAGAAATTATATGTAATATTCAACTTTATTTTAGTTAATGTTTGGTGTTAAGAAATATGCATATCTATTTCTTATATCAACATAAATTAAAGTTTTTCTACATATTTGGTACTTTATTGTACATACTTTTTAATTCAACCCTGCTAGCACAATTTTTAAAAAAATTAAAAAATCCTCTGTATTTTTAAAACATTTCTTTAATATAAAAAATTTAACCCCACAAAAGTAATTTTTAAAAATTTAGCATAATTTAAAATATATTGAAAAAAATTCTTAAGCTTAAAAAATTTAACCCCAGTAGGGCAATGGACTTAAAAAATGGACCTCAAATGCCTCCCATATAGCCACTGGTACACTACCTTGTTCATCGCCAGGTCCTGATGATTCACTGGTGGAGTGGCTCTTACCTGATTCTGAGCGGTGCCGTACATCCACTTCATCTTCAACACTGGGGTTCCTGAGTTTACGGTCTAACAATAAAAAGTAGACAACCTTTTCGGTGTTATGTCTGAAAAAAATATAAATAAAAATGGTCGTTAACCAACAACACATTCTTCAGTTCTTGATAAAAACTGGCAAGAAATATTCAATGCTATTTTTTATTAGTGTTGCTAACCTTCACCTAATTATGGTCTAAACCATAGATCTGACCCTAGAACTAATACCCTGACCCAAGTTCTTAAATTGGACCTTTAAAAGAGATATGGGCAGCAGAAAAAAAAAAAATCAACTATAATAACGTATTTTCCAGCTGGTATTTTTGGAAATTTTTTTTTAATTGATTTTACAGATTGATTAAAAAAATATTAAATAATTTTTTACTAATTTTTTCCATTGAGCAATTGAACACAATTACTACATAAAAGGTTCATGTCAAATTTTATGAAGGATTTCAGAATCCTTCAAGTCTAAAAAGAACAGAATCATGTAGACTTTATTTAGTGTTTCAAAAATATCTTCAACACTTTAAGGAATAAGGATTAAAAAATAATGTAGTCATGGTACAAAAACTTTACTCACTTTGCATTTAGTAACTCTGACACTAACTTTTCTTTGTCTTTGAAACATTGCAATGAATTCATAGTTGATAAGACATCTGGGTCCAAATCTTCTACAGTAGGAATAATGGAGGTCTACATTCAAGAAAACAATACAAATTAGTAACATGCAGCACTGAGGAGAATTATGACATTTATTTTATGGTTTTATACTCTTTTAGTCAATTTTTTTTATCAGTCTCACCATACACCCATACATAATGTTTACACAATAAGTGTAAATATAGTAAGAAAAAATTATATTTTTATCATGTTGAGAATGAAAAGATAAATAAAATTACATTTCCCTGAACAAGCTTTGCAATAGGTAAACTAAAATAATTTTAAAAAAAACTTATTTAAAATTTTTTGTTTAGTTTCAACTGTTACATTGTAACTATACAAGAAAAGTGAGTATTTTATGAATTATTGATTTAACAAACTGCTTGAATTCTTAAATGTTTATAAGATGCAACTATGATAGCGGTTTTCTCTAATCCTGTTCTGTAAAAAATATGCAAAAGAACATAAGTAAAGACATTGGGAGAGATTATTAAATGAGGTGTTTAAACATAGGAATATTATTCTTGTAAAATATGAAGCCAGGTAATATTTTAACATTATAAAGATATTGCCATTGTTATGTTTTTTTTTTGGGTTTGAGAAAATATTTTATAGTTTGTTTTACAATTTTTTAAAATTATGCAATAGCAAATATATTTTAAGAAATTTTTATTTAATGTTTAGGTTTTAATTAATTAAGATGGTTAAATTATTCATTTATTAGTAACCAATATGTTTGCTGCTAACATGCAAAAAAAAAAAAACCAAACAGAAAATGGGGAAAATTTAGTAAACACACAAGCATGCAGAAAAAAAAAAGTAAATTAAAAGTGTTTTTTAGTCTATGAAATATTAGTGTTAATATATAATTAGAAACTGAATTATAATACCAGATAATATTTCTTTCACCTAATTTTTGGTATCTAATTTTGTCTTTAAACCTAAAAAATCATTTTCAAGATTCAGCATTAAACAATCTCATTTTTATAAGAAGATATAATGTTTTAATTGAAACTTTGAAAATTATTTTGAATATTCTTTTGAGGTATTTCACATCAAAAAGAATTGAAAAGGAACATTTTAAATAATCAAGAGTGCTTGGTGTGGTTTAAGTAAAGCTTTGTATGTAAAAATAAAATAAAATCACAACTAAATTAGATGTGTCATAAAATAAATAATTATATATAGCATATATATATATATAACCTATATATATGTTTATAAATATATATATAACCTATATATATGTATATAAATATATATATAATCTATATATATATATATATATATATATATATATATATAATCTATCTATATATATATATATATATATATATATATATATATATATATATATATATATATATATATATATAAACATATATATATATATATACATATATATAAATAATTTTTTTTTTTACACATGAGAAATAATTGTGTAGAAAGGTGATTTGTAAAGATTTACAATTTAAAAAATGGCTTTATTTGGATTTAGATGTTTTTAGAATGAATGAAATGAAAAGAAAAATTCACCTGAACTACTTGCGCCACTGGGAGCTCTAATTCTATATGGCCAACAGTATCCCTACGGTAGACAAACCACGGGAATATAGAGGAAAAAAACAAGAAACAAAAACAAAATGTCAGCAAGGAAACAAAAGAAAAAATGGCTGTGAAAGCAGAGGAAGTATAGCATCATGTTAGTGAAGGGCACTTGGGCTGTTAAATAGGCTGTAGTTAAAACCTGCATCAAACAGGGAAAAATCAAATTCTGGAGTATGAATAAGCATTGCAATTCATTGATGACTCATTTTAAACACTGTATCATGTTTATGCTGAAAAAAACAACATTTAAAAAATTATAATCTATTTAAAAGTCACCCACAACATTTGAAATGTATTGTATATCCATAGATTAAATTTTTTTCACGGCTAAATAAAAAACAACATGATACAGCGATTTTAAAATGAATTATCAAAAATAATTTTATTCTTATGCTTTTCATAAAATTAAACTAACTAATAAAATTTAGCAGGCTTTCAATCTAACACTGATTCCAAAAACTACATTTTCATCCAGTATTCTATTTTACAAATAGTTACACAACTTGAAAACTAAACCGTTTCTTTTTTTCTTGAGACAATAAACCTTCTAAACATATCGTTACCCTCAATTATGCTTCTCTATTAGATAATAGAGGCAAAAGTAAGCAAGCAATGTTAAATAAATGGACTATTATTTTATGACGAAGCAGGCAAACACAAACGATATGTAGTGATTAAACTCAATAAAAAAAACTATGTATGGTTAGAAAAAATCAACAGATGAGACCAATTTTTTTTTTAAAAAAAAGGAAACAAAACTAAATTTAAAAAAAGGTACACAACAGTGATTAGGTTATGAACAATTTCACAGTCCAAGGTGGCAAATCACATGACACACTGCACTGGGCTAAAATTTGTGAGTAAAAAGCTAGGCAGCAGCAGCGTGTACCTGTACAATTTGCATCATGGGTAATTCTGCTTCTAAGTCCTGCTTAGATCCCCTAGAATAAAAACCAAAACTTCTTTTTTTTTCAAGTACAAATAGGCCTACTAAAAATGAATTTACTGTACCAGATTTTTAAAAGTAAAATGTTTTTGTCTATATAACATATTCATTCTACTAAATCATTTTATATTTTCTTTTATACATTTTTTTCACCAAATGAGCTGTATGCATCTTAATATCTTGAACTTTTCCTGTAATCTAAGAAGGCGTTACTATTCTCATAAAAATCAATAAAAACAATTTGGTATTTTTTAAATAAACTAAGCAATGTGAAAATGTAGAAAAATTGAATGGAATTAAATTCATAAAGGGAAACCAACCAATAAAAAAAAAATGTTGTATAACATTAAATTATATCAAACAAGGCAGACTACTGGAACTAAATAAAAAAAGGAAAATAAAATGATAACACATATTAACAGAAATTTATACTTACACTAAGACCCAACCATGGCGCATAACTTCTTCTAACTAAAAAAAACAGAAAAAAAAATCAAAACATTTTATATAACTATATGTGTTTTGTTGTAATTATAAAATAGCCACATTAAAACATAAACTAATTTTAATTTTTTAATTTTAGTTTTTTAACATAATTATTTTCTCACTGTGAACTGATTATTGAGTATGACTATAAAAATATATTAGTATCATAACACAAATAAATTATCTAAGACATATATTCTTTAATATAAACTTACCGTCAAGCGCTTTTCTGAGTCCACCTCTATCATTCCTCGTAACAGATTCTGGCAGTCCATTGGTACAAAATGCGGAATGTGAAATACACCTTTTTTCACTTTTTCTAATAGCTGCCTCAGATTGTCATCATCAAATGGAAGAGCACCCTAAAATATAAAATAATTATTTTCTTAATAGAGGAATGTAGCTAACCCGGCCAGTCTGATTCTAGCATTTCAACACCATAAAAATATTGATTAAATTCTTATTTTGGATATTAGCTTAGAGAAGTGGTTCTTAACTTGAGTTCAATCAAACCCTAGGAGTTCAATGATTCAGTCTGAGGTGTTTGTCAGTCAGAGGTCAAGACACTGAAGGATTATGTCAGTGCAGAGGATAGAACTATTATAAGAAGGGTTCAGTAAATGCATGTGGGAGATTCGTGGAGTTCGGTATCTCCAAATAGGTTAAGAACCACTGGCTTTGAGATATAAAAAAGGATACTAATTATTATTATAATATAATAAAAATTAATTTCTAATATTTAGCTTGAACTATTTTCCCAAACTTAAATTTAGAAAAGACAACTAAGGTTTATTTCTAAGACATAGTACCTATTATTATAACATATTTCATTAAATGGTATATTCTCCGATATATATGAACTTAATAATTTATAAAACATGAGTGCACCTTCTTCTATCAGATAATTAATTTTCTAAAAAGTCTAAGCTTTTGGATTGCTTTAATGTTTGAAGGCCAGTAAATTGTAAGTGTGCTAATTGAAGTAAATAGCTCACATTTCACTCCCATTTTAGCAATAATTACAGGTGAAACTTGCTTCTAATCTACACAAATTTTCCTTAGATATCTAGTTACATAAAAAATGCTGAATAACAATTTTACCATAATTAGTTGAACAATTTTTATTTTTAGTTTAAATTTCTCAACTGTCATAAGGCATAATTAAGTGGTCAGATTTCACTAAAACTTACCACCAAAAGGGCATATAAAATGACACCACAACTCCAAACATCAGCCTTTCTGCCATCATATTTTTCACCCTGAGAAAAAAATCAACATAAAAATAAATTCAGCAAAGATAACTAGCGTTTAACCAAATAAGTGGAATGGCAAAGTATGAAAGTTTTGAATTAAATTAGGACTTCAATTAAGGCTTCATTTGCTGGGGTTAGAGAAACAGATGAACTCTACTTTATCTGCCACATGGACAGTCTGATTTGAAAGAAAAACAAAATTCAGTAGGCATAAGATTATCTAAACAAATGAGTTTCAGATTAAAAATAAATAAATCAGTAGTCAAACTAGATCTAGTAGTGTGAATACAATATGAACGTTGAGCACTGGACATATAATATTGAGTAGGTTCAACTATGTTAATGGAATCACCAAGCTATTTAAAAAAAAAAAGGTTTTTGAAATTAACTTCTTAAATCATAAAGTAAGTGACATTTAAGGAATGGAAGGTGTCCCCCCCCCCCATCCCCGCCCATACAGAATAAACCCGCACATAAAAATTTATACACAAAAATAATTATGGACCTAGAAAATAAAACGCACATTTGAAAATTTGCGCGCAAAGAAATATGTGCAAATAGTAAATACCGCATACGTTGCGACTTTTTAGTGCGCATTTTCACGCGTTACATTTTTCCCGCTTTTCTTTTTTTTTCCGGTACCGATTATCATGCATAAAAATAAATATTCAACTTTAGAAGTAGATTTACTAGAGTCATCCTCGTTCTATTAATAGGTAATCTCGAGCCAGATAAGATGGGCCTAGGAAAAGTAAGTACAAAACTAGATTCTAGTTCCCATTCTAGTCGTAAATGTGAGCGAGTTGGCCACTCGTCTCTCAAAGGTAATCAATTTTCACGAAATGGCGATAAGGCCCGCCGCATGAAAACATTCAAGTTAATCCCCCAGATAACTGGAGCCGAAATGTCAGCACCCAACCTTCTTATCGAGCGTGTGTACGCCCCTGGTCGCCGCAGATAGCTTTGTAATTTCTTTGACGGCATTTGGAGACGTCTAATCTTAGACAGAGTCAGGACCAGGGGAGGAGACTGCTGAGACTGTGAGCCGATAGACAGCTCGTTTTAGTAGATTAAAAGAGGCCACGCAATGAATGCTGGGCGTGGGGGAATCTGCTTTGTTAGTGTTACTAATATCATCAGGCGCAGGGGTTCTCAAAACTGAAGTTCCTATATTAATAGGATTCCTATACATAATTAGGAGATAAGTGAATCTTTCACTTTATAAATTTCTTCTGAGTAATGCTGAATGCCAAGCCGGCGAATAAAAAAAAATGGTAAAATTAGCAAAAATTAAATAAAATTCATTGTTCTTTAGAGACGGCTTGACATATTGACCAAACCAGACATCATATCAACCGAAGTACACCAATGTGTAGAATAGGTTGTGAAACTATAAATAAGCAGTTTTATATAACAAACAATGAAAAAAATAGTATGTAGGTCTAAACCAAAAAGGCATGCGAAATTTGGTTGTATTAAAGTAACTCAAATGAAGGCGACTAAGGTAAGAAAGTAAGAGAAAAATCAGACTCATTCAGAATTTTAATTAACATTGTGTGTGTTTAAAAAAGAAATCTAGAATGTAAGCAAAAGGTTGTTTTGTAAACTGAAATACTGTAAATCCAAATCGAATCCGAATCAAAGGATCACAACTAAATTGAATTTATTTTAATTAAAAAGAACGAAACACGACGCTGACTGGGGAAAAAAACTCGACGGGGCGCCTCAAGAATGATGGATTAACCATTTAACTTTGGCGGAGCTCACGGGACTTGACGGGAATGGTCGATCACAGTGCGCATGTCCATGACCCTTGGCCCGTGTTGTAGGGAACTCCCTGACGTAAGATGTCACTAATGGCCGCCAATCTTTTTTTTTTCTTTCTCGGAGCTTTCTGTTCTTTCATTTTGGTACAGTCCACCTATTGAGCTTCAAATACAACTCGACCAACGTTGATTGGTTGCGACCAGAGGCGTAGCGGGGCGCCAAAATGGGTTGTAAAAATAAATTAAAATGTCATTTTAGCTGCATTTTTGCAGTTTGAGGGGGGAGGTGCAAATCGAAAGTTTGAAGGGGGGGGGGGGTGCAAATCGAAAAGTTTGTTTGAGGGGGGGGGGGGTGCAAATTAAAAATTTGCTCCCTAAGGGCGCAAAAATTGAAAGTTTGTCCCCGGGCGCCGGGAAGGGTCGCTACGCCTCTGGTTGGGACAGGAGGGGGGGGGAGGAGGAGAGGAGGAGGAAGATGACTGAAGACGCAAATTTGGCATTGGGGTTTCCCGATTAGAATAAACCACACCGATTAGTTACCCCCCCCCCCGTCATTAGCCCCCGGTCATTTACCACCTTGTGTATTACCAACCACCATTCTCCCCCACAAAAAAAGGAAATAAATAAATAAATAATCCAAGTATCGTATTCACCCCTTGTCAATCACACCCCTTCCCATTTATTATCACTGTTCTGCATCTTCCTTAACCGCACACTGTTTGATTTGCAGGATAGTGAATACAATTAATAATACATGTTACAAAGTTGGTGGACTGACTTTGTGCATGGGTGGATTTTTTTTTAGCGACGAATGAGGTGAAACTTCTTACATCCTACACGTGATGCCACTTACTGTAGAGCCCGGGTAGGATACAGGTTTTGTCGCAGAGTGCATGGTAGTAAGTGTTACTAAGATTATCACCAGTGTTTCTTCCAGATATTTTTCTCCGGGGGGGGGCACTTGAAATCTTCGGGGGGGGGGGGGGGGGCGGTAAACTTTCTTCGGGGGGGGGGGGGGGGGCGGACACTGTTAAAAGTATATATTTTCTATATAAATTATATAAATTTCATTTCGTTCGGGGGGGGGGGGGGCGGTAAAATTTTTTACCGAAGAGATGCCTGGAAGAAACTCTGATTATCACACCCACAACATTCCACCAACGTGATCGTGTTTCTAAGATGGTCAAAACCAACATTCCCTCTAAGTGATATAGGCTAGTGTGCAAAGTGTATTTTGTGTGGGAGGAGTTCTAAAAGTCTTATTCAAGGATATGTGTATTTTACAAAATGACTGCGCGGCAGGTTCAAAACCTATGCGCGGCCGCGCAACCGCGCAGCTTAGAGGGAACACTGGTCACAACAACATCACATCAACGTGATCCAGCTTCTAAGATGGTCACACCTGACACCATCACATTAACGTGATCATGTCTCTATAATGGTCACACTCAGCACCAGTGTTTCTTCCAGACTTTTTTCTCCGGGGGGGGGGGAGGAAACTTGATATTTTCCGGGGGTCGGACAACATTTTCCGATGGGCGGACGCTGGTAAAAGTATATGTTTTCTATATAAATTCCATTTCGTTCGGGGGCGGTAGACTTTCTTCGGGGTTGGGGGCTGGGGGTGCGGGGGCAGAGCCCCCCCCCTCCCCGAAGAGATGCCTGGAAGAAACTCTGCTCAGCACACCATTCCACCAACGGGATCCTGTTTGTAAGATGATCACACCTTACCGGTTGAGTCAAATCTATAACATCCAACCATCACTCGTTCCAGATATTACAAAACCGACGCTAGAACTAAGATTTTTAAAAATAAAATCTGTTGTAATATATTTGAAACATCCACATTGAATTTTGAATTTAAGATAAATTATAGGCTTAAACGATACATTATAAATCATAATGACGTTAGCAAGGTAAAGATTAATGGCTTTTTAATGATCTTCTCAATAACACATTTTTACCCCTTTTAAAATCAGCAGGTCTATAAGGCTACATTGTGATTGTATATATTTATAAATTATTACACAGATCTATATATATAATTATGAAATGGTATGAAACACTTGATCTCATCCAGATTTGCGAGTCCCAATTTGAGAACTACTGCCCTTAAAAAAACATTAAAATAGTTAAATACTTCCATATTTAAAAACCTAGCCAGGACTCAGAATCCTTTTTTTTTCTAGAACATTTAAATCTAATATTTATAAATTATCATAGACTTTCAGTTTTTTTTTAAAATTTTGCTTAAAAAACGAATTTATTCCCGTTTGAATCCAGGGTTTAAAAAATCGCATTGAAGGGCAGCACGTTTTACTCATTGAAAACAGATATTTAACGTCAAAGCTAATGGTTGCAAGATAAAGAGAAGTATTTTTTTAAACCGCTGGGACTGGAGAGCAAATGATACGAAGACTGGCTTTAGCGAGACATACAAGACGGAAATCAGACCCAACACATGAATCACTGGATCTTGAGACCATTACACGCTAATATTTTAGAGCAAAGCTTAGCTGATGGAGTACACATTGCGCTTCATTAAATCTGTAGTTTAAATTGAATCAGCTTTTAGAGCTAAAGATAAAAGCACTTAATACTTAAAGACTTTTTTTGTCATACGTCCAATTAAAATTATCCGATAATTAAGTCAATTCTTTATTGATTTTTGCAACCTTTAGTCTTTAATTCATAATTTATTGACGCTTTTGTGTGTGCCATTCTGGTGTCTACTCGGCCATACTAAATTTAGGTCTAGGTGTCTAAATATAACATCAGGACATTTTACTTAAAAACTGCTGTCCTAATAGGCTTATGTAGTTTCTATCCTGGGTGGGAGCATTTCCTCCACCCCTCCCCCACCTGGGCGCACACCCATCGCCTTCTCCCGGAAGAAATAGAAAACATATATCTTATATAGAAAATATATAGTTAAAAGTGTCCGCCCTCTGACATTTTAAGTGCGACCCTCCCCCGGAAAATGTCTGAAAGAACCTTGACTATATAGATCACGACACAGTCATACTGTCCTCTACCACCCTTGGTATGTACAGCAGCAGAACGGAATAAAACAAAAACACTATTCTAGTTCTGCCGAGTGATTTCATATGAGAAAATAATAAAGTATTTACCTAGTGACTCACCAACTTTATCACGAGCAGTGAGTACAACGTTCTACCTGTTTCAGGTGAGGGAGTGATTTTAATGTGGAGCATCGGATCCTGTCTAGTTCTAGAATCAGCGGTCGTTTCTTTACAATAGGCATCTTTGTATTTTTGTTACGTTATCGGTTTTATAATAATACCGTATGCTTATAATTTAAATAAGATATTCTATCCATTTTCGGGTAAGGGTATGCTTTTGGTTATTGATGCTGATTTGGGGAAATGGAATCGGACCAGAGGCGTAGCGAGGGGGCGGGGCGGGGGACATATGTCCCCGGGCGCCGACCTTAGGGGGGGGGGGGCGCCAAATTGAAAGTTTGAGGGGGGTGCAAATGAAAAGTTCGAGGGGGGGGGGTGCAAATCGCAAATCGAAAGTTTGAGGGGTGGTGCAAATGAAAAGTTCGAGGGGGGTGGGTGCAAATCGAAAGTTTGAGGGGGGGGTGCAAATGAAAAGTTCGAGGGGGGGTGCAAATCGAAAGTTTGTCCCCGGGCGCCGGGAAGGGTCGCTACGCCTCTGATTTCCTCAAACATATTTAGCTATTATGTGTTAATGTGTTATGCGCTATATTGCCAGTTAACTCCGATTTCAGCCTGCTTTTCTTTTTGGATTTGCCTCCATAGTCTTTGTTTAACAAAGAACAATATACAAGGCAGCCGTTGTTTGGTTTTTTTTTTAGTTTTCTCTCCTTGATGGGTTGCTGGTCCCAGCTAACGAGCCTCATCTGCCCGGGGATTCGCATTTGGGGCTCTTGGAGTTAGCAATGATGTTTTCTCCCGCAAGTCCCATAAGCCATCGCTGTAGTTTTGTTTATCGGTGTCTATTAGATATCGTAATCTTTGTATATCCATATTGTTAGGTCTTCACAATAACTTCCTCTGCACCTTTGTCCAGCCAGTGCATGAAATAACGCTGTATATTGATACGGCTGATCTTGATAAGCAACACCAACGTATGTAAATAAAATCAGGTATTATAAATGAAATCCGGGGGTTAAAGTTCAGAAGTTGAACGAACAGCAGTGCACTCGGGTTAGCTTAAAATTGATGACAGAGAAAGGCTCTTCGTTAAGAGACCACACTCTGAAGGTCAGAGCCCTCGCCACACATCAAGGCAACACCGAGCATCTCAAGAGTTCGCGCTCGTGCCAGTAAAATTTCACGTATATTTAGATACACTATCGTATAAAAGGCCGGGCAAGGTGAGTGTAAGGACTCGTCGAGTTCACTGAAGAGGATCAAGTTATATCTAGGCGTTGGAGTAGACTGCTCAGGTGTTTTTTTTACGTCTTGAAAGTTATGATAACCAAATATAATAATATAACCAAATCTCGATAGCTGCTACCAGTTTTCGAGTACTACTACCAATTCTCAAGTGCTGTAAAAACGCTATAAAAGTACACACATTAATCAACGTTGTTTTAAGATCGCTAGCAATGTTAAAGTAAATAAAAATCTTAACGTGGAGTCTGATAAGTTTAGTGTTAAATTATCTGCATCGAGTTGAAATCTAAGATATTTTTTTTCTCTTTATCGATGTAGAAAAAAAAATGCTTTTTATAATAATTGTATATAAGATGCTGAATCGGCATTTCTCATGGGATTCCAGTTGATTTCCTCCATTTTCTTTTTGAACTGAAAGATGGAAACGCTTAATTTGATTTACATGTGTTGTTTATTTTAGTAAACTGAAAAGCGGTGGGTTTTTTTTTCCAAAGAGTGGAATATTATGCACTGCAGGCCTATAGCAAATGGTAGTTGGTAATGTTTTTTTTTTCAAATGGAAAACTGCAATGACAGCGTATTTTCTTATTTTGAATAAAATATAAAAATTGGGTATTATACAAATTTATTATGTTTTAAAAATGTTTTATTAGCTATTATTATTTATTAAGCTTGATGTTTTTGGTGTACCGGAGGCGTAGCGATCCTTCCCGGCGCCCGGGGACAAACTTTCAATTTGGCGCCCCCCTCCGAAGCAAATTTTCAGTTTGCACCCCCTTCTCAAACTTTCGATTTGCACCCCCCCCCCCTCAAACTGCAAAAATGCAGCTAAAATGACATTTAAATTTGTTTTTACAACCCATTTTGGCGCCCCCTAAGGTCGGCGCCCGGGGACATATGCCCCCCCTGCTCCCCCATCGCTACGCCTCTGTGGTTTACGCCTATAAAAATAACCACCATAGAAGCTGTTATTTAAGACTACACGTTCAATAGCCCGGGACTCAGGAGATGGGCAAGAACTATCGACTATGGTAGCCGAGGTTTGAAAAACACGGAAAGACTGGGCATAGCTGAGACTGGCTTAGACACGGCAAGTCTTGGAAAAGGACTGTGGTGCCGCCCACATGTGAAGACCACTGACTCGTAAAGGCCGATCATATCGATCTATAAAGGCCGATCATATCAATCTATAAAGGCCGATCACATCGATCTATAAAGGCCGGTCACATGTTAACACCACTCACACGTATGTATAAGCCAACCACACGTAAAGACCGACCACACGTAAAGACCGACCACACGTAAAGACCGACCACACGTAAAGGCCAAGCACACGTAAAGGCCAACCACACGTAAAGGCCAACCACACGTAAAGACCGACCACACGTAAAGGCCAAGCACACGTAAAGGCCAACCACACGTAAAGGCCAACCACACGTAAAGGCCAACCACACGTAAAGGCCGACCACATGTAAAGGCCGACCACATGTAAAGGCCGACCACACGTAAAGGCCGACTACATGTAAAGGCCGGTCAAATCAATCTATAAAGACCACCCACATGTGAAGGCCGACCCCATATATCTATGAAAACCGACTGCATTGATCTATACAAGCCGACCACATAGTAAGACACACACACTCGGGGCTAAATAAGTTGTACCAGTAGTTACTCAGGAAATCGACAGACTTTCTGGCAGACACAGACTTCACGTTAGAAACCATTAATTGTCGAAGAGAAGAAACAATAAAAATAAAATTCCGGGGGGTGGGGACGACGACACACTAAGGTAAAAGTATATATTCTATATTAATTCTATTTCGTTCGGGGGAGGGGGGCGTAGACTTGCTTCGGTGGCGGGGGGGGGTGTAGGGGGGAGGGGGTGGGGCGTTGCCTGAAAGAAACACTTGTTGTATTGTTTTCTTACAGTGCTAGGCTGTAACTTAAATGTAAGAATTGTTGTCTTACCCGTATCACCTCAGGGCAGGCGTAGTGTGGAGAGCTGGAAATAAAGAAAGACGATACTTTGTTAAAAACAGAAAGTAAAATAAAAATTATGCAATAAACATACTTAGGAAAAAGAATATTTAGTAAAACAAAATAGAAAGAAAGTTATAAAACAACAACGAAACAACAAGATCTAGAAGTAATTCCACCCATTGAAAAAAAAAAAAAAAATCACTTAAATAAATCTTTTAACCCATATGAAAAAAAAAAAAAACAATTGCACACAGCTTAACTGACGATGTTCAACGGACAGAGACCTAAAGAAAAAAGAATTCCCCAAACAGGCCACCATTCGATAAACAAGAGCAAATGGCAGAATCCCAAGGTGGCTAAGAATAATAAACTGGATAAAAATAAACCGTTTAAAATTTTATTAAAAAGTAAAAAAAAATCTTATCTTATCCTACTTAATATTACATTAAAAATATGTTGTACAGATATACAAAAGATTAAATAATCAACCTAAAACTGAAATAAAGTTAAAAAAAAAAAACCCAGCTGTATAACAATGTGACAAAATACTGGACGATCAACCTTACTAAATCGTCTACTTGTGTTCATATACACATTTTTATAACTAACGATTCTCAACGAATGTGCTTTTGCTTGTCCATAAACAGTTTTTGCTTATCTATTTAATCTTAAATCCGCGCCCACCCCACCCTCGTAAGAACATCGGCTGGCATCATCCAAATCCTTACATCGGATCGGCAAATCTGTCTGACATTTTGTCAGGAAATCTCTACGACATTTTGTCAGGAAATCTCTACGACATTTCGTCGGGAAATCTCTACGACATTTTGTCAGGAAATCTCTACGACATTTCGTCAGGAAATCTCTACGACATTTCGTCAGGAAATCTCTACGACATTTCGTCAGGAAATCTCTACGACATTTCGTCAGGAAATCTCTACGACATTTCGTCAGGAAATCTCTACGACATTTCGTCAGGAAATCTCTACGACATTTCGTCAAGAAATCTGTACGACATTTTGTCAGGAAATCTCTACGACATTTCGTCAGGAAATCTCTACGACATTTCGTCAGGAAATCTCTACGACATTTCGTCAGGAGATCTCTACGACATTTTGTCAGGAAATCTCTACGACATTTCGTCAGGAAATCTCTACGACATTTCGTCAGGAAATCTCTATGCCATTTCGTCAGGAAATCTCTACGACATTTCGTCAGGAAATCTCTACGACATTTTGTCAGGAAATCTCTACGACATTTCGTCAGGAAATCTTTTCGACATTTTGTCTTGTGAATGTCACCAGGCCCTGGTTCGATAAGACCCCCACCCCCAGACCCCTTCCCTGGTTTAATAAGACCCCCACTGGTTCCATACGACCCCGGCCTTCTCTGGTTCGATAAGACCACCTACCCCTCTTCCTTAGTTCAATAAGACCCCCCTACCCCCTCTTCCCTGGTTCAATAAGAACCCTACCCCTCTGGTTCAATAAGATCCATACCCCACTTCCCTAGTTCAATAAGACCCCCTACCCTCTATTCCCTGTTTCAAAAAAAAACCCTACCCCACTTCCCTAGTTCAATAAGACCCCCCTACCCCCACTTCCCTAGTTCAATAAGAACCCCTACCCCCACTTCCCTAGTTCAATAAGACCCCACCCCCTCTTCTCTAGTTCAATAAGACCCCTTACCCCCTCTGGTTCAATAAGACCCCTACCCCCTCTGGTTGAATAAGACCCCTACCCCCTCTGGTTCAATAAGACCCCTACCCCCTCTGGTTTAATAAAACCCCTACCCCCTCTGGTTCAATAAGACCCCTACCCCTCTGGTTCAATAAGAACCCTACCCCCTCTGGTTCAATAAGATCCATACCCCACTTCCCTAGTTCAATAAGACCCCCTACCCCTTATTCCCTATTTCAATAACCCCCCCCCTACCCCCTCTTCCCTAGTTCAATAAGACCCCCTACCCCTTATTCCCTGTTTCAATAACCCCCCTACCCCTTCTTCCCTAGTTCAATAAGACGCTCACCCCCTCTTCCCTAGTTCAATAAGACCATCTACCCCCTCTTCCCTAGTTCAATAAGACGCTCACCCCCTCTTCCCTAGTTCAATAAGACCATCTACCCCCTCTTCCCTAGTTCAATAAGACCATCTACCCCCTCTTCCCTAGTTCAATAAGACGCTCACCCCCTCTTCCCTAGTTCAATAAGACCATCTACCCCCACTTCCCTAGTTCAATAAGACCATCTTCCCCCTCTTCCCTAGTTCAATAAGACCATCTACCCCCTCTTCCCTAGTTCAATAGGACCATCTTCCCCCTCTTCCCTAGTTCAATAAGAACATCTACCCCCTCTTCCCTAGTTCAATAAGACCATCTACCCCCTCTTCCCTAGTTCAATAAGAACATCTACCCCCTCTTCCCTAGTTCAATAAGACCATCTACCCCCTCTTCCCTAGTTCAATAAGACCATCTACCCCCTCTTCCCAAGTTCAATAAGACCCCCTATCCCCACTTCCCTAGTTCAATAAGACCATCTACCCCCTCTTCCCTAGTTCAATAAGACCCCCCCCCCCACCCTCTACCCAACTATTGAAGAATATCTAGTGATATTTGATTACCCATGTGCCAATGCCAGGAACTATACATCCATTTTATCTAGATAACTAGCAGGCTTCGCGTCGACCTACACAACACATTAGGGATGGCTTTTCGAAGTCTTACAGTATTTCTAAAAGTAAGTTCAGGATAAAAAAAATCCTAATTTCATACAATTTATTTTTAAAAAATAGAAAAAAAAAAGACGAAAAAAAAAACCGAATAGCCTAATTTTGAACTGGATAAAACGAAAGTCAATGACTCTAGTCTAAACCGGATATTCAAAAGTATGGACCAAGACTTCAGACAAAACTGTGCTAGTTGTTGGAACGGGGTGGGGAATACTAAAACTGTTAATCTAACACATACGTTATTTTTCTTCTACAAAGTCCAGCGTGAAATAGTTTAAGAACCACTGAAGTAATGACGTTCGCACGTTGCTAAAGCATGGCAACAGTAGATATAGCTCATACAAGAGAATACCGTAGGAGGTCGAGGTAAAGTGTGACTATCGCGTAGTGATGTAATTAGTATCTGGTGTGTGCAGGTTTTTAGATCAGTTGTGGTAATATAAATAAACAATGGACGTTTGCATAGCAGGAAATCTGTCTTTATACATAGAAAGATATATGATATTATCTAGCTGAAAAACTAATAATCTCGCGCCATATATCTCATCACTTTTTAAAAACATTTTTTTTTTTACATTCATTCAATATGTGAATATTTTTACGTAACAGCCTTTAAACACGAATTATTTCCCATTTCGAACCTGATGGTCCATGGGGCAAGTAAAGTAGAGTTCACCTGTTTCTTTGATCAAGGCATACGAAGGGATAGTGTGACCAGCATTATGCCCAGCCGCCTTTCCTTTACCAGGTACTCATCAGAGCTGGGTTAACTCAGGCGCGTTCTATTGACTTCAACAGAGATTAAAACTCGAGACTTTCGGGTAGGCAGTCTATCGCTCTACCGTTAGGCCACACCGTCCCATTATATATATATATATATATATATATATATATATATATATATATATATATATATATATATATATATATATATATATATGTGTGTGTGTGTGTGTGTTTATGTCTGACTATCAAGTAAAACAACTTTTATCTGCCAAAGCTATGTAGTCTCAGGCAGATCATAATAACCAACATAAGAACCAACACAAAAGATTTGAGCTATTTACTTAACCACAACTTTCCAACTTATCAATTTTATGCACACATAATTAAGAGAGATTATTGTAGAACCAACATCCGTACAATAAAACTGATGCCTCCCCCCTCCCCACCCCAACAATTTGAGAACCCCCACAGTGAGATACAAAAGACGGTGAGCAGCAGAACACAAGTGCAGTTCTGGCACACCTCTGCGAGTATATCAGATAAGTCAGAAGGAACAAGATTACGTCCCTTTGGAAAGCCCCGGTACAGACATTCATTGTCAGGGGAAACAACTATCCCTCCGACTTCTGATACAACATAGTACAAAGGAATTAAATATAAAAGTAGTCTCCACTTTTTACAAACAGCGAAACATTTTTAGTAGCAGTATAAAATAATTTTTGAGTATAATGATTTTAACGACTTTTAAGAAAAAAAATTAAAATGTGTATTTTTCTAATTCTAAATCTTGAATGTACCCCATAGAAAAAGAATCGGAAAAAATTATTTTAGTCGCAGTTATCATTTAAATTCTGATTGGTTTTTCCAGGAGATCCCTCTTTTTGCTTTTCTAAATTGACTAAACGCAAACCAGGAACCGAGTAGGCCTAGATCTAGAATCTAGTTTAGACTAGATCTAGATTATTGATAATATAGATCAGAGGTCGGCAACCTTTTGAAGCGGAAGAGCCAAAAGTTAAAATTTTCAAAATTTCCATGGTTTTAAAGGGCCACTAACATTTTTTAAAATATTAAATATTTAATTTTTTATTAAGATTATTAGTATTTGTTCAAGGAGCTGGAGAGCCGCATCTTGATATCAAAAGAGCCGCATGCGGCTCGCGAGCCGCAGGTTGCCGACCCCTGATATAGATCTAGATATTAGAGATAAATCTTAATCTAATCATTAGATCTTGATCTTTAAAGTTACAAGTCGCTGTACGGGATCTAGATTCTAGATCTATTAGTAAATAAATGGCCTCTTCAATGCCACCATCATGGGGATCTCCTGCATCTGGGGCTTCCAGTTCACTCCAGAGCAGTCCTATAGGCAACAATTCACAAGAACGTACTCAAAATTCCATGCGTGGGCATAGGCAAAATCCCTACACACATAACAGAGGCAGAAACCAGTCCCAGCCACATCAGTCAAGACAGGTCTCAGAATGACAGTACGACAAAGACTTTCCCAAAACCCTGTCAAAACTTTAGCCAGGGAAACCCATTTCAGGACAGTGGGAAAAAATTCAGC